GCGATCCCCTTGGGAACTTCCCTGCTCCTGGTTCTTTGGCAGCGTTGCTGTAGCCCATGGCCGGTTCCTCCTCCTTCACCATCTCTGCTTTCTCCTCCAGGAGCTCTTGGCTTGGTCAGGAGTGAATCCCGAGCTTGGCATAGCAGCGCCAGTGGCTATGGAGTGACCTGCGCTCCGCGTGCGTGCCTGAAGCGACTGCCCGGGCACCGCATGCGCCCGGCCCACGTGCTCCTCGCCTCTGCCATGAATGATGCATCGACGATGGATTATGAACTGCTCTCCCCCTCCTTGGTTGAGCACCCAGCCGGTGCTGCGGGTATGGATGCTGAGCAGAAAACCGTCTTTGCCTTTGTCATCTTCCTTCTGGTCTTCTTAGTGATGCTGATGGTGCGCTGCTTCCGCATCCTGCTGGACCCCTACAGCCGCATGCCCGCCTCCTCCTGGACTGACCACAAGGAGGGGTTGGAGAGGGGCCAGTTTGACTACGCCTTGGTGTAGAGGGCAGGGATGGGGCGAGCCTGGGTGCTCCGTGTGCCTCCCACCCCGGCTGGCCCCGGCCCCGGCCCCCCCTTCCTCTGTGGTGTTGCCCTGGGCCAGCAAGGATGCTCTGGGCAGGGAGGGGAGGTCAGGCTCTCGCCCGGGGTGGGTTTTGTAGGGGTTTCTCTCTTTTCTAAGCACTTTTCAGTTCTCTTTGCAGTCTGCAGGACTCTTGGAGAGATGTGTTGGAGGGGGGGATGTGGCTCTGCATGGTCCCTGCTGCCCACCGTGGGACAGGGGCAGGAGGTGATGGGGCAGGGCATGGCGGGACCTGCCCTTGGCCACAGCCCACGGGGCTCCTGCTCTGGGTGGCTCTGCCTGATGCCAGGCCAGAGCTTTGACCCCCACCTCCTCCTGCCCCCCCCCATGTCACCCTCGTCTGTGCCCTCCGGGGAGTGCTGACCGTGGTCCAGTGCGTGTGTGTGTGTGTGTCCCTGTAGCTGAGCTGTGTCTGTCAGGGGGTTTATAGGCACCAGACCCAAGTGCTGGCTTTGTTCTTCTCTGTGTGGCAGCCCCAAGTGCCCCCAGCCTCTGGTCCGCAAGTGATGGGGAGATGCAGACCCCCATGTGCAGCCCCCCTTGGGCATCCAGCCCTGCAGCCTGCTCTGCTTTACACCGCAGTGGCCTGTCCCTATCCAGCTGATGGAGATGGTCTGAACAAGGTGAAGGCAAGCGGCTTCCTGCATTCCTGCTGGGGGGAGCCCTGCTGGGACCCCAGGAGGGATCCATGCTCCCACACAACCCTCGGGAGATGCTTCTCAGCCAGCCCAAGCCTGGCAGCCTCCCACCATTATCCTACTATGGCCTGTCCCTGCTCCATCAGGACTGGGGTGGGCTCCCCATGGCTGAGGGCTGCTAGAAGGGGCAGGGGGGTGGCCCTTCCCTGGCCATCCTGCATCTGGGTATCAATGTGTGTGTAAGCAGCTGACGGGAAAGCCAGGCTGTCCTCTTGGGGCCATGCCTGGTGAGTAGGGATGCTGCAGCTAGCCCAGGGCTAGCAAAAGCTGTGGTGGGTTATGGCTGTGGGCTGGTGAGAAGGTTTGTACTATGGGATGTGAGCACATGGGGGAGAACCTCTTCCTCCACCATGGAAATAAAGCTGCACTGTGCTAACCCCACACAGCTCTTCCTCTGCTCTTTGCTGCAACCCATCAGGTCCAAATGGAGAACCGGCTGCTCCCGGGGCACTGCTGGGCTGCCCCATGTCTCTGTCTGAGCCAAGGCCCCACATCTCCCAGCACAATCTGGAGCTGCTCAATGGGGATGGGTGATGCGGGACAGGAGCATCAGTGGTGGGTGCTCCATACCCGAGCATGTGTTCTCTCAGGGATGTGCTCCTTGCCCACAGCGTGTCCCCTCAGCCAGTGGTGCTGGGAAGGGATAGTCCCAACCTGGCCACGTCTGCAGCAGGACCCGTGGACCATGCCTGGATGTGTCTTCTACATCAGTCCAGGTCCCAAGCTCCCCCAGGGTTGCATGAGCACGGTCATGAAGAGAGAGGCAAGAAGTCACAGCAGAGAAGTGACCCACAGGACATGGGTACCAAGCCCAGCACCTGCTCTGGTGCCACAAATCTACCACCACCCAGGCAGCTCTGAGTTTCCAGCTGTGAGCTCCATGGCAGTGCTTTCCTCTGCTCTGGTTTCATGGCTTCACTGTCCCCTGGCCCCGGAAAGCAGCAGCTCCCTCCCTGGCACAGGGATGCTGCAGCTCTGCAGCCCTCTTGTGGCACACGGCTGTGTCCAGAAGGGGAGGCCAAGAAGGGATGCTCAAAATGAGACCAGCAGCCGGACCCTGACTCCGGGATGCAGGGCACAAGCTGTGGGCAAGTGCCTGTATCCCTGCACACACCATTCACTGCACAGGCTGCACAAACCCTGCCCTCTGCATTGCAAGCAGTGAATGCTGCTGCTCCCCAAAGGGGGATGAGCCAGGAGCCAAGGGTGAGCACAGCACAGGCAGGGGGAGCAGGGCAGGAGGTGGGGGAGCAGCAGCTTTGTCCCCACTCTCCTGCATCTCCCCTGTCTCCTCTTTGCCAACCTGGGTGCTCCTCAGCCCAGCAGCACTGAGGGATGGGGTTCAGACACCCATCCGGATCTGCTATAAATCAATCCCTTTCCTTCCACTCTCCTTGCTGGGAGAGAACAAGGAGCAGAAGAGACTTTGCTGGGCTCCATCCCTCCTCTGCCTACTGATTGCTTTGGGAGGGACCCCAAAGCGCCTCCGGTGCTGAGCCACAGAGGGGTGGGCGCGCTGGGTGATGCTGTAAGACTGATTCCGTGTCCATAAGGAGAGCAGAGAAGAACCCAGCTTGGGCTCCAGCCGGGATGGATCCTGCCGCATCCCCAGGCTTCCCGGGAGCGAGGAGGAAGAAACAGCCCCGCTTAACCCAAAATAATTTTATTGTTGCTGTTGCTTCTGATACAAAAAAAGGGATTCCACAAGGAGCCGCCTCCATGTGCGGGACAAGGGGGAGCAGGGGCTGGGGTTCAACACTTCCCCCTCCCCCCCCCCCCCCCAAATCAAACCAACCAGCAAGAAATGGCAATACAATAAAAAACACCACAACAACCAAAAACCAACCCGGCACCAGAGAGGAAGGAAGGGCCCTTGAGCTTTGTCACGCACACACAAACCAGCTCTGCTCATTATTATTATTATTATTAATAGGTTTTGATTCTTAAAAATAAAAATTCAAAAAAAAAAAAAAAGAGCACCTGTTGGAAAAAATAAAAATAAAATAAAAAATAAAACCTAAACCCAGCCCCCAGCCACGAGCCCCCCCGGGCACAGCTCCAGGACTCTTGCACAACCCAGAGCCCTGTGGGAGCTGTGCTATGGAAAAGCTTCTTCAAGTTTGCCCTTAGCCCCAATCCGGTTCCCATTGACTGCCCCCAGCCCATGGGGTGGCAGCACACGGGGGACAAACCAACCCCCCCTCCCCAATACCAACCAGGACTGCAGGGATCTGCCCTCCCCAGAGCCCCCGCTGGTTCTCCATCCATGTGGAAGGGGGGATGGCGACAGTGCACTGATGCTGACCACTCGATCCCAGCTTCGGAGAGCTGGAAGCACCTCAGGGTTGGTGGTAAGGTAGTTCTGTGTGTCACCGGAGTGAATTAGCACCTTTCTGTCCTGTGATGAGGCACAGGGTTGATGCAGAACTGAAAAGAGGGTCATGCAAAACTAGGGGGATGGCATTGCAGAGATGAGCTGGGTGAGGAGCACTCATGAAGGAGGAAGAAAAGCCAGGACAGAACAGTCTGGACAGGCTGCTTGAGGCAGCAGGGAGACCCCAGTTCACTTAATTCCTATTCCCCAGGCTCTATTTAGTGCATTTCACTTGTCTGCATTAACCAGAGACCATCCATCCCGGCTGTCACCTTGGCCTGACCAAGATGTACGTGACAACCAGAGGGGAGGCACCTGCAGCCCCTGCTTCCAGAAGCGCTCCTGACCGGGGGGGGGATCTGGCCCATAAGCACCACTCACACAGATGGGGTGGCTCAGAGCTGAGGGCTGTTTGCTCTGGCTGTCCCTGCCTCTTCCTTCCTGCCAGGCTGCAGAGGAGCCTCCCCTCCCACTCCATCCCCAACTTGTTCCTGCTGGTGGGAAGCTTTTCCCAGGATTTTCAAGCACTCCATCAGTGCCGGCCAGGAAATGTGCCCTGCAGCATCCACACACGGCCGCCCGGCCAAGCCCTCCATCCCTGCTGGCATGGGAAGCAGCCAGATGCTCTTTACCAGACTCATGGCGTTTTTCCTGCCCGTTTAGTTTGTCCAACCGCATTCAGCAATGCAATGATTTGCCTTTCCCCAGAGCTCCTCCTGCACAGAAGGACACCTTAACCCCTGGACTTGCTGGAGCTCTGGAAAAGCCCATCCAGCTCCAATCTTTGGTGGCGTGTTCAGCATCCTGCAGTGTGAAAACCCTGGCTTCCCTTCAGGAGCTTATGGTCCCGTAGCCTGGCTGCTTCGTGATGGGAGGTTCACAATGTGATCTGCCCCTTCACTCAGAGGGGACCGTTTCTGTTTGACAGAGGAGCCCGAAAGGACCAGAGAAAGGCATGGAGAGGACAGAGAAAGCCAGAGCATGGGCAGTGTGGGGATGGGATGCTTTCTGCACAAGCAAAGGAGGAACAAGAGCTGTTGGGAAATGCACTAACACCACACCGTGCCATAGCTCCTTCCAAAGCTGCCCCCAGGCCCCCCTCACATTTCCTGGCCTGTGCCCATGAAGGACAGGCAGCTTCCCCATGGTACCTCCCTTGCCAGCTCAGACTATCACAGTACCTTGGTTAAAGGAGACAGGCAAGGGCTGAGCAGAGGACTGGGGGCCCTGCTGCCAAGGTCTGAGCCTTTGGCACAGGCTGCCCGAGCTCGTTTGTGGTGTGGCTTGGTTTGGACTCAAGTCACTTGGTTTGGACTCAAGCGGAGTTATCCCTGCATGGCCAAGGTGAGGGACGTTTCCCATCAGTTGCACAGTGCAGTGGGGGCGACGGTGGCAGGGGGTGCAGCGAGAGAGGAGGCAGTTGTTTCCAGAGGTGGATGGCAAGGCGAAGGACTGGACTGTCGGTTGGGCGGGTGGATCTCATGGATGTTAGTAGAGCTGGAGCTGAAGCTTCATCCTCAGTGCTTGGCCCAGCTCCCCTGCTAAGTAGTTGAGGTGGTTCTTGGCCTCCAGTTTCTGCAGTTCCCTCTTGCGGTACAGGGGCACGCTCACGATCTCCAGCAGGTAGGTGCCCGGCAGGATCTTCTTGCGGCCGAGGTGCAGGAAGCTGAGCCCCTCCTTTTGGTGGATGCGGAAGTAGCCATCCTCGTTCCCGTGGGAGATGAGGTACCGCACGCGGTTCTCCAGCGGCTCCACAGCCGGCAGGAGCTCCAGGATGTGCTCCTTGTGAGCCAGGTCAGAGAGGTTCAGCATCATGGACAGAGGAGCATCCACGTCCATGCTGGCCAAGTTCACAGTGTGGTCCTTGGGAAGGAACCAGGCACGTTACTTACAGATACCAAGAAAAGCTCCAGGCCAGGTGAAGGAGGACTTGATTTAGAGGAGTTCTGCCTCAAAGAACCAGAGCAGACTGGGCAGAAGGGCCCATTGTGACCTCCCAATCCAATCCATCCCGCCCAGGCCTGTGAAATCCTTGGGGGAGCCTTAGACAGAACTTCCCTCCTGTTCTTTACAGTGACAGGTCCAGTGTGGAGTGGGACAGGAAGTGCTTGGCACTCCTCTATAGCCCTATAGGAACTTCTCTGCTCCCTTGCAAGGAAACACGTCTGTTTTGTTCCTTGGTTGCATGCATCTCCAGACATTTGTGGTCAAACCACACAAGTGCATCTCACTTAAGATTGCCCTGACCTTCTCTAATGTGTTGTGAAGGACCTTGTATTTCTGGGCTCAGTGGCATTCACAACCACCCAAGCACCCAGCATAGGCAGATATAGAGCTGCTGTCTCTGCCTGGACGGAGGCAGCTCCACAGGAGCGGGTACAGATGCACGGGACCTACCCCAGGCAGTTATCCCCTGAGTGCCCCAGCTCTTCCCTTGCTTCACCCCATGCAGGATGCCATGGATTTCTCACCTGGTGCTTCTCAGTGCCATTGACACTGCGTCGCTGCCGACCCCTCTTGTGGTACCCATTTATCTTGCACTCATAGCAGGTTTCAGGGGAGAGCAAGTTGTCCTCATCCTCTTCTTGCGGGGCAGGAAGGTAGGAGCCCTTCCCAAAACCCAAGCCAGAAATGCAGTGTCTGGTGGCAGAAGAGCAGAGAGCCCCGTCTCAGATTCATGCTTTAGGAAGGAAATCTTACCATTGCTCCCACAAGTTCTCCATGTGGCACCCAGAAACACTTGAAGGATAGGATATAGGGTATAAGACATGGCTTGTACAGAATGACTTTACATTGGATTGGTGGCAGAGAACAAAACTGTGGTGATTGAGCATGTCTGGGGGTACCACGCACTTGGCAGCCTGCAATATCCCCCAGGACCATACAGGGACTGCATCCTGACTGCCTCTTACCCTTGTCCTGCTCGGAAGTAGCCTCCAGGACATCCACAGAGGTAACCTCCGTCAGTGTTGGAGCAGCCGTAACTGCAGGGGCTGCCGCCTGCTGAGCATTCATCCACATCCTGGCACCCACCAAAGGCCTGGTCAAAATCAAAGCCCGATGGACAGACACACTTGAAGCTTCCCAGAGTGTTGTAGCAGGAGGCAGAGCCGCAGGCAGTGGGGCTGGAGCACTCGTTTTCATCTGTACCCAGAGACAGAACGAGTCAGAATCTCACGGTGCTGCTGGTGCTTCCCCACCCCATATGGCCAAGGACATCTGCCCATGGCCATTGCTGAGCTGGCAGTGAGCTCCCTTATGAATAGAACAGAATCATGGAATGGCTTGGGTTGGAAAGGACCTTCAAAGCTCATCCATCCAACCCCTCTGCAATGAGCAGGGGCATCTTCAACTGGACCAGGTTGCCCAGAACCGCATTGTCCAAGGGTGGCTGGAGAGGAACTTGGGGTTTCAGTGCCCTCTATCCCCCATCCCACAGCTACAGGGCACAAGAGCCCCCATCCCGCACTCACCGACACACTGGTTCCACTGGTAGTGCTGCACGTAGCCCTGTGGGCAGCCGCAGCGGTACCCCCCGAGCACGTTCTGGCACCCATGCTGGCACCGGTGGTTTCCATCACACTCGTCCACATCTGCAGCAATGGAAACCAGATGGGGGTGAGACAAACTCTACCTGACTGATGGGCAGCCCTGGGGGCACAGGGACTGTGTGCACATGGTATGGGCCTGGCAGCCACTGCCCCTGAGGTGGGTTCTTCTGCCTAATTCTGTCTCTGCAGCTTGCAATTGAATGATACCCCCAGTCCCCAGGCCCACATCCATCCCCTTGCAGCCCCTGCTTGGATGTTCTGGCCTTAAGATTCTGTTAACTTAGAGTCAGCTACCAGATCTACTCTGCTTCAGGCTGCCTGTGCTGGACGCAGGCTGTTCTTTAGCATAGCACATGGTGGGTTTTGGCCAGCATGAGATCTCCCCTGATGAGCTACAGGACCATTCCTTTCCCAGCTTTGGCTGCTATGGCTGCAGCACTGAGACCTTCCTCTACTTGTCCTCCAAGCAGGTCACACACTGACCTCTTATTTGCACCAAGAACCATTCCTTTTGCAAATCCCATGTGGATTCCTGGTGCCCCGCATAGGGAGCAGTCCCTTCTGGCTGGATGCGCTGCCTTAGAGAGCGTGAATGAGCAAGGAGCTCTTCCACACGGACCATGCCTGTCAAAGCCCCAGAGACACAGACCCACCTTCGCAGTTGACTCCAGAGCTGTCCAGGGAGAATCCTTTCTGGCACTCGCAGTTGTAGCTGCCTGGTGTGTTCAGGCACTGGCCCTTGGCTCCGCACAGAGAGGGCTGAGCCGTGCACTCGTTATTGTCTGCAAAACACAGGGGCCCACTCAGCCCATGCACAGGGCCATGGCTCTGCGACAGCCACCTCCCAGCATGGAGCTTAGCAGCGTCTGAGCAGCAGCAAAGCCAGAAGCACATCCCCAAGGCCAGCTGCAGAGGGGCAGTGCTCTGGAGCCGGAGCTGCAGGGCTGGAGAGGCTCTCCTGTGCTTAAAGCTAACCCCTGGAGGCTCTACTCACCGATGCAGGATGAGTGGTGCTGAGTGAAGCCGGGGGGACACTTGCAGTTGAATCCCCCGATAATGTTCACACAGAGGAACTGGCAGTTGTGCTGCTTGGTGGAACATTCATCCAAGTCTGAAGCAACAAGCACAGGAACACACATCTCAATTTATCTTAGTGAGAAAGCTTCGTGGTGTGAGTCTGTGATGCCTGCATGGACACGGTGATGCGCAGTGGGCCTGGGCAGACCACGACCTGACCTGGACCAGCCTCAGCAACAACACCCACAGAGTTCTTACATGCAGACCACAGCGAGCCTCTCCCCACCTCATACACAGACACATTTAGAAGATGTAGAGCTTCATCTCTGCTTATCCCACAATCCCCACATCCCAGGTCCTCCTGCGTTCTCAGGGCACCCTCCTCGCAGCCTGGCTGCCAGCACCAGGAGGAGCTCTGACAGTGACATGCACAGCCCACAGTGCTGACACAGGTCTAGAGTGTCTGTGGAAGGATGAAACCCTAATGCAACCATCCACGAGGTCCAGCAAGGCAGCTTTTCCCATATCCAGCCTTATCCTGTGGCTAAACAGTAGGACCTGACTGGTCTGTTAACCAGCTCTTGCCACCCCCCTCAGCTGCCAGAGATGAGGCAGGGTCTCTGCTGCCTTCTCCTGGATGAATACAATACCTTTGCAGATCTTCCCATCTTCTTGCAGAATGTACCCTCGGGGGCAGGAGCACTGGTAGCTGCCTTCTGTGTTCTTGCAAATGAAGTTACACGGCTTGGGGGACTGGTTGCACTCATCCAAATCTAGACTCGAGAGACAAGAAGCATCAGCATCCATGGGTTGTGTTGCTGGACTCTGCCCCCACCACCCCTTGGACCATTCAGTCTACACGCGGCAATCCCAGGTTTCATGGCCCCACATAACCAAGGGGTCAGATGTCCCTATGATTCTGGCATTTCCTGCCCCAGATAAATGCATCTTTTCCACTCTCCAGGAAGCAGCTGAGCAGAGACAAGGGCTTGGAGGGAAGACGTCAGTCTGAGGCAGCACAACAAATCTAGGAGATCTCCTGCAGGAAAAGAGCTGGATCGACTCCCTGCTCAGACATGGGGTGCTGTGTGACCTGGTGGATCTCAGTGACACCTTTCCCAGGCCGAAGAGATGGGGAGATGCTCCCTTTGAGTACTGGGAACATCAGGGATAGGGCCAGCCCTCTACTTCTGCAGCTTTGTCAGCTCTGCTCATCAGAGTTAAGGAGTTAAACAGCACACAAGGACAGGCTGGGAACATTGGGGCTGTTCAGCCTGGAGAAGAGAAGCTGTGTGGAGACCTCAGAGCAGCTTCCAGTGTCTGAAGGGGGCTGCAAGGATGCTGGAGAGGGGCTCTGCATCAGGGACTGCAGTGATAGGACAAGGGGTGATGGGTTCAGACTGAAACAGGGGAAGTTCATGTTGGAGATAAGGAAGGAGTTCTGCCCTGTGAGGGTGCTGAGGCCCTGGAATGGGTTGCCAAAGAAGTGGTGAATGCTCCATCCCCAGCATTGAGAGCTGGTCCTGGTGGGGGCGGATGAGTGTGTGTGTGCTTCAGGACCCTCTGTTTGCATGCTGCAAGTAGGGGTGGAAGCACCCTAAGGCCAAGGGCTGTCCAGAGACTTGGGTTTCCTTCTCCCAGCTCACCCACACAGGCGGTGCCGGTGATGTCCGCGGTGTAGCCCAGCCTGCAGTGGCAGCGGAAGGAGCCGATGCTGTTGATGCACTGTCCATTCTTGCAGAGGTTGGGCAGCACCTTGCACTCATCGATGTCTGCAGGAGGGAGGGAAGGATCTCTTAGTCATGGTGCTGCCTTTGCCACCGTGCTCCTGTGCCAGGGGAGATCAGACTCTCCCAGGGAGCCAGAGGATATGGTCAGGGAGATGAAGGGCCTGGAGCCCAAGTGTGATGGGGAAGGGATGAGGGACCTGGGGGGTTCAGATGGAGAAGAGAAGGCTCAGGGGGGACCTGATGGCTGCCTACAAGTGCCTGAGAGGAGGATGGAGCCAGGAGGGGCTGGGCTCTGCTCCCAAGGAACAAGGGATGGGACAAGAGGAACCGGCCTCAAGCTGCACCAGGGCAGGTTTAGATGGAGCTGACGAACAATTCCTGCCCCAGAGGGTGCTCAGGCATTGGAACAGGCTGCCCAGGACAGGGCTGCAGGCACCGGCCCTGCAAGGGTTCACATACTCTCAGTGCCATGGGTTAGGGGTGGCCTTGGCACTGCTGGGAATGGTTGGACTGGATGGGCTTAAAGGTCTCTTCCAACCTGGCTGATTCTATGATTCTATATAAGGTAATGTCAGAGGTTTCTTATCTGCTTCACGCACTGTGTAGGTCTATCGCAGGGGAAGTCTGCCTGTACCCACACCTTTGCTTTTGCCCCAGCTCACCTCTGCCATCAGTGGAGTACCCTGGCCCATGAGGACACATTTTCTTGTACTGGGCAGTTCCAGGAAGGGGGCAGAGCTCGCACTGGGGGCCCCAGCTGCGCCCACTGTTGCAGCAGCACTCAGATTTGGTGACCAGGTTGCGGTTGGTGGAGGACATCTGGCACATGGTTTGCAGTACTTCAGTGAAGCAGAATCCTTGGCGGGTGTCTGGGGAGAGAGAGTGAGGAGACAAGGTCAGGATGTGAGTCAGGGTCATCTCCAGGGATAACCGAGCAGCCGGTCCAGCCTGTGCCAGTCCCAGCAGAGAGGGTAGCGTAGTTTGGGTACTGCTAACGGCAAACCCCAACGACTTTCTGCTCCGAAACACATAAAAAGCATCATGTGCTGCTACAGAGGCTGCTCAAGCCACACCAGGACCTGGTAATTACCAATACACTCTGTGCCAGAGGGGCTGACTTCAAAACCTTCATTGCAGTCACAGCGGTAACTTCCCACCGTGTTGACGCAGCGGCCGTTGGGGCAGATCCCAGGCTTGGTGCGACACTCGTTCTCATCTGGGAAGGAAGGAGCCACAGAGAGGTGAGGCACAGGACAAATCCCAGCTTCCCGTGTTTGAAACACCCTCCCATAGACCTTGAGGACAAGTTCTACATCCTTGAGCAGCTGAGGAACACATTCCCCTGCTCCGGACCTCTCCCAAGGCAGTGTGGCTTTGGGTGAGAACCCAGCCTCCCTGCTTTGCACATTCTCCACCTGCAAGTGGCCAAGCTGCTGGGCTAGGAGTGGAGCTGGGCTCGCTCTGCATTCCTGCTGTGCCTAACACTGGGCAGGTCTGGGCTGTCCAGTGCTGGCCCCTCCAAAAGCTTGACCCAGACCTGGGGAGACTCAATAGAAAGGACACATGGCAAAATGTGCTGGAAGTGTATAGACCATAGGTCCAGAGGTGAACAGAGGTTTCGTGTGTGTAGGCATCTAATAGGACATCCAGGAAGTTCTGACACGTGGGCACCCCTGGGGAGGAGCTGTTTGACAGAAGGCCATAAGATAAAGCTACATGGACAATGCCCAGAAGAGGACGGTCTCCAGCCCCACTGGGAATCCCTCCCAGCCTGGTCCTTGGTACCTGTGCAGCCCTCTCCATCGGGCCTGCGCTGCATCCCTGGTGGGCAGATGCACATGAAGGTGCCGATGAGGTTCTTGCACAGCATCCCTCGGGACTCGCAGTCGTGCAGCCCCTCTGCACACTCATCCAGATCTGTAACCGAGAACCTCGTGAGCCCACGTTCAACCTGACAGCACTGCCGAGGCAACTAGGAACTGAGTCCTTGCATCTGCACCCCTACGGCAGCCCCTTCTGCCCTGGTCCAGGCTGGCTGCACACAGCGCGGACATCAAGGTAGGTGGGAGCACAAGGCCAGGGATGCCAGCTCAGAAATCCTCTGCACAGCACCAGAGAGCAACAAAGTGCAGGAGCTGGGAAGGGGGTGGGAGCCCACTGAGGGGTGCAGAAGGGGACTTTACCTCTGCACATTCTTCTGTCTTCTCGCAGGGCGTATCCGGACGGGCATGTGCACTCATAGGAGCCAAAGGTGTTGATGCAGCGGAAGGCGCAGAGCAGAGGGTTCAGTGAGCACTCATTGATATCTGGGAGGCAGGGGAGAGGGGAGAGCTCCACTCTGTGCTCTCAGCAGTCGGCTGGGCAGGAACAGTGCAGGGGTCCCCCCTCCCTGTGCATTCATCTCATGAGATCTCTGTTCCACCAAGGCTTCCTGCCATGGAATTCAGCACTGACAGACCCCTGGTGCCAGCAGCTTTGACAGGGTCCTTGCTGAGGCAGCTCCTGCATTGCAGCAGGTCCCCAGACCTCCTCCTGGGCTCCAGCCTCAGAGGAAGCTGAAGGGGACCAGTGCTGATGTGCACTCTAACGTGGAGATGAGCCCCAGCCAGCTCTTCTGCACTGCCCATTGGAGGCTGACCTGCTGCTCACCCAGGCAAGTGACCCAATGTGCAATGGGGGCGAAGGGATTGCCCCACAGCAGCATTACCTTCACATGTCATCATGGGACCTGGCTCAAAGCCCTCGTCACAGGCGCACTCGAAGCCTCCCACCACGTTGGTGCAGGTGCCATTCCCACAGGGATTGCCAATGGAGCACTCATCAGTGTCTGGAGGAAGCCAGGACCGTGTTAGGTAGATGAGTTAGGAAAGGTGTAGGCTGATCTCGTAACCAGAGCGCTCAAACAAGCCCAGCAAGCTTTGAGGCTCAAGATCCTAAGGATCTTAAGGTCCTTTCCAACCCATTCTATGATAGAAGCAAGAGGAAGCAGGTGCTCGCCATGCACTTACCCACACAGTTGACTCCTGTGTAGTCCAGGTTATACCCAAAGGGGCACTCACAGCGGAATGACCCATCAGTGTTGATGCAGGCCCCATTTATGCAGACACCCAGGTTCTCTGAGCACTCATTGACATCTAGAAGGAAAAGCAAGGCAATGAAACCTCATGGGAGCACATAGCCAGGAACATCCCTGTCCTCTCAGCACTGACCCTGCAATACCAGATGCTTCCTCTCCAGAGCTTCAGTGAGCAGCCAGAGACCATGAGCCTGGGGGAGCACCCAGTCCTATGTCCCTCCAACCACTGACATTCACCCTTACTCTCCAGAGAGCCTCTGGTTGCTTCTAGGCAACCTCCCCATCCCTAGATCAGACCTTACCTTCTCGGGTGTCACCCGGGCCTGGGATAGCTCCATGGCCGTATGGACACAGCTCCTGGAAGGCAACTGGGAGAAAGCAAGCAGAAAAGTGAGGTATTTCTACAAGCTAAATGTCCTGTCGCTGGGCACCATTGAGAAGAGTCTGGCACCATCCTGCTGGCACCACCTTTGACCTATGGATCTGCATTGATGAGATCCCCTCAGTCTGCTCTTCTTCAACCAACCAGGCCCATCTCCCACAATCTCTCCTCATCAGAGATGCTCCAGACCCCTCAGCATCCCTGTGGCCTTGCTGGACCATCTCCACTGTGTCCAGAACTGGGGCTCCTAGGTTTGAAGGCAGTATTCTCCAGACTGAGGAGCCCACTGTGCTGGTTGTCTTGCCCTTGCACCCCTTCCCCATGCTCTGCACGTGTCAGAGCACACAGAGCCACCTCTCCCATGGAGCTGCCTCTCAGCACACCTACCATTCCCTTCCTGCGGGCACAGCTCACAAGGGTCTCCCCAGCCTTCTCCTGGCATCTTGCTGCAGCAACAGCGAGCCTTGGTGGTGTTGAAGGCCTTGGGGACAGAGCACTTCCCGTTGTCAAAGCGAGTGAAGCAGAAGCTCTGGCGAGTATCTGTGAGAGGAATGGGTTATGCACAGCTCGTTGCAGACATCCCTTATCCTCCCTTCCCAGCAGGATGAGCCGCACTCACCAAAGCACCGCCGGCCGTTGTCGGACAGCACGAAGCCCGGAGGACACACACACTGGAAGCTGCCAGGGGTATTGGTGCACGTCCCAAAGAGGCAGATGTTGGGCTCCTCTTCACACTCGTTAATATCTGGGAGTATCGGGGACACAGAGCAGCCAAAGGTGACTCCTTTCATCACTGCTTTAAAGCCAGCTGTGAATCTATGATGCGTGCGGAGCCCTGATGCCTGCAGGACATCATCCCAGCCCTGACCCTTAACCCTCCCTCAGGGCATATGGGGCAATGAAGAGGCCACGGCACAGCAAAACCCCCAAGCCTCCCCTTTCATGGGAGCAGGATTTGCCTTGCTCTGGGCCCAATTGCTTTCAGGAAGATATCTGGGGGTGGTGATGCCCCAGCCCACTCAGGAAGAACAAGGTTGGTGTGGGAATAGTCCAAGGTCACTCCTCAGTGCCATGGGTTAGTGGTGGACTTGGCAGTCCTGGGGTCAAGGTTGGACTTGCTGACCTTAAAGGGCTTTTCCAGCCTGGTTGTTTCTATGGCTCTATGAAGCAGATGAGCACAAGCTGTGCTGCAAAGGGAGGGGGCACAGAGCCAACATTACCGATGCAGTTGTCGTTCTGCACCTCGTAGCCGGGGGGGCAGATACAGCGGAAGGAGCCCTCCAGGTTCTGGCAGGTACCCGGGGAGCAGGTCCCAGGCAGGCTCACACACTCGTTGATATCTGCACAGGAGAGGAAACCACCAGGGATAGCATCTGTGCTCAGCATGGAGGGCTTGGGCACAGGCTGCATTCCTGCCCTGCATGCAGCTGCACCCTTCTCTTCCCAAAACATGGAGAGGAAGCAGATAAGGCATTTTCCAGGATGCTCCACCTCGGGTACCCAGGGAACATGGAGTGAGCCCTGCAGGACCTGGTGCTGCGGGAGGCAGAGTGGTGGGCACAGAGTACAATGTGCCTGTCTGTCCCCACAGCCCCTGGCTGCAAGGTAGCTCCCAAGGCATCCCTTGGTGCAGGGGCATGGATAGGACAACATTTCTCCTCACTGCCCACAAGTCTCAGCACATGGAAAGGGACTGCCTTGACTGTTCCCTGCATTGCTGGAAGGGAGATGCAAGCACAGTGAGGCCCAGTCCAGCTTTTATGGGCAGTCAAGTGATCAGGCTTTGGCTCTGGAGGACTTGAAGCCTTGCGAGTGGAGTTCTCAGTTGCCTCAAATGGGACCATCTTGGGGACCACATCTCATAGCACAGTGCTAGCCACACCAGCATGCAGCAAACCCCCCAGAGGAGGGCCAGCCTGCTGCCTGGACACTCACCTACACAGTTCTTCCCGTCAGGGGTCCGGTCATACCCCTCTTGGCACAGGCACTGGAAGGAGCCGATGCTGTTGATGCACTGGCCGTTCCGACACACCTGCCCCACCAGGGACGAGCACTCATCAATGTCTGTGGGAGGGAAATGAGAAGCACAATGGGAAGAGGGATGCGCATCGTGTGTCAGTCCTACACCTCTGACACATCCAACTACCCCTACAGCCACTGCCAGCTGACACCCAGAGCTGGTCCCTGTGTGTCACTGCGTGACACCGCAGCCACTGCCACGTTGGCCCCATGCAGTCAGGGTTTCATGCAGCTCACCCATGCAGTCGTTGTTGTGTGTCAGCTCGAAGCCAGGGAAGCAGAGGCAGTTGTAGGAGCCAACCGTGTTCTTGCAGGTCCCATTTCCACAGGGCTGCCGGTCACACTCATCGATATCTGCAGAGAGAAGGTCACAGCTCATTCAGGGGCTGGGGGAGCTGAGAGGCACTGCTCTGGGGGTGCAGATGGGGTCCAGGCAGCTGCACAACACCCCTGTGGCTTTCAGGGGCAGCCTGGGACCCATGGGACACCGTGGCCCTTGGCTGTCCTTGGCACTACCCAGCGGGTGCTGGATGGAGCTCACATCCACCCTGATGGGTGCTTGCCAGCGGGGCTCTGGCAGCCACACTGACCCATGCACATGGTCTGCTCCCCCGTGGCCTTGAAGCCGTTGTGGCAGATGCAGACGTAGCTGCCCTCGGTGTCCACGCAGTCCCCGTGGCTGCAGACGTTGGGGATCTCCTGGCATTCGTTGCGACCTAAACCAAAGCCAAAGGGGCACTAGTGAGCAGAAGGGATGGAGCAGACGGGAGGAGCTGATGCAGTGGTGGGCAGTGTGTCTGTTCTCACAGCACAGCATAGCAGGGTCTCTGTTTCCTGAGAGGTGGCTCCACAGAGAACAAGATTTATGCACCATGAACTCTAACAAAACGAGTACACATTGAACTGGAGCAAATGGCCTCAAGAGCCCGTTCCCAGAGACCTTTCCTCGCCCCTCAGCAGCCCATAATCCCTGGGTTTTTTTCCAGAAATGAAGGAATGCCATTATCTTTGCTGCTCTTTACTGTGAGGGTGGTGAGGCTCTGGGACAGGCTGCCCAAGGAAGTGGTGAATGCTCCATCCCTGGCAGTGTTCAAGGCCAGGTTGGACAGAGCCTTGGGTGACGTGGTTTAGGGTGAGGTGTCCCTGCCCATGGCAAGGGGGGTGCAATCTTAAGGTCCTTTCCAACCCAAATCATTCTATGAGTCTATGATAACCAGAGCACAGCCAGGCCATAGCCCACAGGCTTGACAAAAGACAAGGAACCCACGCATGTCACTGGCACATCCTTCATCCTGTCCACTGGACATGGAACATCCTTCACCCTGTCCTTCCTCTGGTCCACACATGGGGCTCTGTAAAGCCACCTGAAGAGCCTAGGCAGGGGTGCCAGCACTCACACACGTGTCTCTGGATGCAATAGGTAGCAAAGAGCTCCCCTCTTACCCACGCAGGCTCCGCTAGGCGACAGCTTGTATCCGGTTGAGCACTCGCACCTGTAACTGCCCGGGATGTTGATGCAGTCGGCGTTGCGCTGGCAGAGGTTCTCCCCACTGCTGCATTCATCAATGTCTGTGGAGGAGAGCAGAGCAAACCCGGGCTGTGCACGGGGCCAAGCACCGGCCACCGGCAGCCTGGCAGGGCTGGAGGGGCCCACAGGAGTCAAGTGAGGGTTAAGGCTTGGTTTGGGCAAACGAGGGGCAAGTTTCGAGCTTTCACTATTGCTTTGCAGGAAAATAATGGGGATTTCAGTTCTCTCTCAAAACTTGGAAACACATTTGCAAAAAAAAACCCCAAAATGGAGAAAGGGAAAAGCAGGCAGGAAAATGAATGGAAATCAGCACATTTTGTCCAACCATTGATGTGGAAAATGATGATTTCAAGAAGGTTGAGAGCAGGCAGACTCTGACCATGTCTGCTGAGAGCCCTCACCCTGGTGCCCCATGGGGTGAGGAGATGCCAGTGCCACACTGAGATCCCCCCTCATGGGCATCCTTGGCAGCGTTGCCCTGGCTGCCCCGTTACCTTCACAGATGAGCAGGATGTTGTTGTAGCTGAATCCAATGGGACACTCGCACCTGAAGCTGCCAATCTGGTTGATGCAGACACCATTGGTGCAGATAGCAGGGATCTCACTGCACTCATCAATATCTGCACAGAGACAACATCTCTCAGCATCCCGGGAAGGCAGCAGGGAGGGAAGCAGCCCCCAGAGCTGCTTTTACCGAAGGAAGGGAAGGGAACAAGCTCACAACCACTGCAGGAGGAAAGCAGAGGGGCAAAGAGCAGACCTGGCTCCCAGGGGCTCTACTCACCAATCGGCTTTCCTGTGTGGATGTCGATGATAAACCCAGGAGCCTGGTTCCCACACAGGATCTGGTATTCAGCTGGAAGAGGAACATCAAGGTCATGGCCATGCCTGGTGGGCAGAGCAGGGTGCAGCAAGGGACGAGACAGACAAGGGCCAACTAAGGCTGGAGGGATCAGAGAGGGGTCTGACAGGCAGGCGGCACACATCCTGTGCTCAGCTCTGGGCCCCTCACTACAGGAGAGACATTGAGGGGCTGGATGGGGCCAGAGAAGGGCAACGGAGCTGGAGCAGGGAGCCCAAGTGTGATGGGGAAGGGCTGAGGGACCTGGGGGGTTCCAATGGAGAAGAGAAGGCTCAGGGGGGACCTGATCCCTCCCTGCAAGTGCCTGAGAGGAGGATGGAGCCAGGAGGGGCTGGGCTCTGCTCCCAAGGAACAAGGGATGGGACAAGAGGAACCGGCCTCAAGCTGCACCAGGGCAGGTTTAGATGGAGCTGAGGAACAATTCCTGCCCCAGAGGGTGCTCAGGCATTGGAACAGGCTGCCCAGGGCAGGGCTGCAGGCACCGGCCCTGCAAGGGTTCACACAGCGTGGGACGAGGCCTCAGTGCCATGGGTTAGGGGTGGCCTTGGCAGTGCTGGGCAATGGTTGGACTGGATGGGCTTAAAGGGCTTTTCCAACCTGGCTGATTCTGTGACTCTATGATCATCTCCTCTCCACAGATACTGGCCCAGTCCCCTGTGTCCTCCAGTGCAATGCCTGTCCCCACAGCACTCACCCACAAGGCACCCCCTGCCAGAAGGATGCTCTCCCTTCTCCTCCTGTTTGGTCAGGGTCTGTGCCTCACAGTGCAGGGGATGGCTGGAAAAGCATGGGGTAGCCACGGTGCCGGGGTGACTTACGGCTGGCCGGTGTGGGGCAGGGCTCGCACGGCTTGTTCCAGGCTTTGCCAATGTTGTAGGAGCAGCAGCACATCTTCTTGGTCATGTTGAAGGAGAGCTCGTTCTCACACGTGTCGTTGTAGTTGCGGTAGCACACGCTCTTCCTCATGTCTGCAAAGGCAGCCCCGTGTCTTGTGCCAGCCCCAGCACTGCTGCTCCGTGGGCTCAGGCAAGGTGCCCACAGCACAACCCAAGGGCTGCACGCAGGCAGGGCACTGCCAGACCCCTGCCCACAGGCTCAGCCCATGCCGTACCCATGCAGTTATTTCCTCCGTTGACTTGCATGTACTCAGGGGGGCACACGCAGGTGTAGTTGCCAAGGGTGTTGTAGCAGGTCCCGGGGCCACAGATCCCGATGTGAGCAGAGCACTCATCAATATCTGCCAAGGAAAGGAGACTGGAGGTCAAAGCACTGGGCAGAGGGAGAAAACCTGATGTGGGAGGGGTGGTGGGCTTGGCACAGGGACAGGGTTTGTGATGAGGATGGGAAGTCTGGAAGAGAAAGGGGAAGTGATCCTCGGGCAGCCCAGATCCACACACAAGCCTCCTGCACACACACATGCACACGCGTGTGTGCCGCACACACCAGGCTCAGAGCCAAGCCCAGGCACCACGCTGCAGCTACCTTCACAGATGCGCGTGTCCTCATTGAGGTAGTAGCCAAGGGGGCACTCGCACTGGAAGCTCCCAAAGGTATTCACACAGTTGCCCCCCTGGCAGAGGCCCGGCAGCTCCTGGCACTCGTCGATATCTGAGGAGGGAGAGCAGGCAGGAGGGGGTCATTGCCCGCCAGAGCAGCGCAGGCAGTGCCTTCACGCTGGCATCCGTAGAGGGTCCATCCCATCACCTCCACCCCCTGCTGGTGCCCAGGAGCACATCCGAGGAGAGCACACACTTGCTGTTTGTCATTTAGTGGTCAGGGGCTCAGCGTGCACCCAGCCTGCCCAGTGCCACAGCAGAGAGTGCCCACACAAGGCTGGGTGGGCTCAGCCAGCATCCAAGCCCCTGGTAAGGACGTGGGGTCTGTGTCAGCTTACCTTCCAGGATGACAGTGATGGGGTTGGGTCGGAAACCTTCCCCTCCAGGGCACAAGGTCTTGTATTCAGCTGCAGAGAAAAAGTCAGTCAAGGGGGTCCTGGGCTTAGCGGGCTCCCATGAAACAGGAGAAACCCAGGAGACATAGGCCATGAGGATGGTGGCAGTGGTCCAGATGGAGCATCCTGACTCCCACTGCATGCCAAGCCAACTTAGCCACCCTGTCTCTGCCTGCCTGCTCTTGAATGGGGTTATTCCTCATCCACATGCCCTCCCCTAGCCCACTGTACTGGAAAGAGGGCTCCCAACCTGTATTCCCCAGGCACAACCAGCCTGGTATCCCGCACCCCATCTCACCACTCCCACTGCACTCACACAACCGGGTTACTGCCTTCTCCCTCAGCTCCCCTTGCTCCATCATGATGATAGCATACCCTGGACCCAGGATCCCCAGCTTCAGCTGAAAAGCCACAGGGAAGTGGCCCCCTTTCTCTTCTCAGCTCTGTGCTGCCCACCCAGCCCATGCCCAAGTTCACCCCAGGGATGTTCCCAACTCACTTGTGTTGGCTGGAGGACAAAGCTCACAAGGGTTGCCCCACGCACGCCCCAGCGAGCAGCAGCAGGATGCCCGGGTGACCCCAACTCCAATCTCTGCGCTGCAGGAGATCCCCCCATCTCCTCGATCCTGGGTGTCGAGGAAGCAGTTCCCAACACGGGTATCTGCACAAAGACAGCAGTGGGTGAGCAAAGCCCCTCCAGTAGAGACTTGTGCACACAGGAGGAAGGAACAGCACTATTGCCTCAAGAAGCAGGGAGAGGGGTAAGACCCCAGTCCTGTCCCAGATGGCCACACTGTCAGCTACCTGTGTTGTCTGTGTTGTACTGTCCTTGCAGCTCATGACATTGAGAACCCTTCAAGAACAAAGCGTGTCCAGCTTTGTTTGCCATCAGTATGGCTGGAGAGCATGACCCAAATAATGCCCCAGTAACCCAGGGCCTTTCAAGAAACAAACACTGAAGAATAGCTCCAGAGCTGCCCAGGAATAACATTACTTCAACCAGGAGAGCACCCACACTGGTGACACAAGGTGGGCCAGGCTTAACAGGAGGTAGGTTCTCTTGTGCTGCTGCAGCGCTAAGCCCAGCATGGACAGCCAGGCCTGGGATATGGGGCCAACAAGGACTGCCAAGCTCTTGGATGGAAGGTGTCCTCTCCACTCACCCACACAGCCCACCCCAGTGGGGTTCAGCTCAAAGTCCTGTGGACAGTTGCAGAGGTAGCTGCCAGGGGTGTTGACACACAGGCCGTTGATGCAGTTCACAGGGTCTGCACATTCGTTGATGTCTGCAAGGATGGAAAGATGAAGACTGAAAAATGAACAGATGAAGATGCACAGACACCACAGCCCTAGGCTCTGCGCTGTATGTTCAGGGTGTATCCTCATGAGCAGTGTTTCTAAGGCTCTTCATGTGACAGTAGGCAAAGCCCTTCTAGAAACAGATCTTGCTTTGTCCTATTTCACACCACTATGCCCAGGGTCAGAAGAAAGGAGCAGAGCCACAGCTTTCCCTCCCATCCACTGAAGGCCCACCTTCCACCAAGAGGAAAGACACATCACCACATCACACAGGGATGCTTTAAGCTGCTAGTGACACTCCCAGTGTCATGGCTGGGGCAAGGTCCCACCAGCAGATCACAGAGCAGTGATCCTCATCCAAGAGCCCTGTGCGAGCCCTATACCTGTGCAGTTGCCTCCACTCCTGTCCAGTTCATAGCCTTCATCACAGGCGCACCGGAACATCCCAGGCAGGTTCTGGCAGGTCCCAAAGACACAGATGTTCTGGAAGGTGCATTCATCAATGTCTGCAGAACAGGGAGAGCTGGGGATTGAGGATCTGGCATCCCACCTGGAAGCAAAGCCTTGCACCACCAGGGGATGGTTGGGCTTGCTTAGGAATAGATCAGGTGGTGACAGTGCAGTGGAGAGACCAAGCCCAGCAAGGAGGTGGACACTGGACAGTCAGTACCCTGGGCACTCACCCTGGCAGGCCTTGCTGTCCTCTGTGGGGTTGAAGCCCATCTCGCACTCGCAGCGGTAACCCCCGGGCGCATTGAGGCATTGGCCATTCTCACACAGGTTCACGTTGTCTGCACACTCGTCCACATCTGCAGAGAATCCAGCACGAGACTGAGCCGGTGTCCGCGCCATGAGCTCCCCTCAGCTTGCCCAGAAACCCCCATGAGCTGCTTCCCACCCCGCTGCTGGGATGCTGAGGAGGGGGCTGCAATGCTCCGCATCGCATTGACCCTCCCCAAACACACGCTGAGAAGAGGGGGGTCTCTGCTGCAGGCATCTGAGCAGGCTGTGGCTCAGGGCTTTTGGGGACAGTGGCTTTTGGGGGACACCTGCTTTGGGGAACCCCAGACACACGCAGCTGAACCAGGCTGGTGGTTCCGAGGGGAGGACTCCACTTCCCAGCAGGATGCCCATTGAGTCTTTGGGCCTCACCAGAGCAGGAGAAGCCATCCCCATTGAAGCCTTCCCGGCAGGCGCAGCGGTAGGAGCCTGGCGTGTTGACACAGTTGGCGTTGAGGTTGCACTTGTGCTCTTCAGTGGCACACTCATCCAGGTCTGGGGAGGGAGAACACCCTGGTCAGTGCTTTGCCTCTGGCCGTCCCTCTAAGCCCAGGTATATAGTGCAGGGCGCAGAGGACAAGCAAATGGCCCAGGAGACCGCAGCCCCCAGGCACCTGGAGCATTCATGAGGCTCCAACACATCTCTGTGAGCCCCTATGGCCCTGAGGCGCTCCCATGGCAGTGCTGGCACACACAGTGTGGCAGTGAGACACTTCCACACACATACCCACGCTCCCAGTACCTCCCCAGTGCAGGCACACGTACCCTTACATCCCTTCACAAGTGTGCATAGAGCACCCGGACACACAAAGACCCTCTCCTGGATGAGGAACTCACCGTTGCACTTCAGCCCATCTCCAAGCCAGCCTGTACGACACTTGCATTTGAAGCTCCCAGGCACGTTGATGCAGGAGGCATGCATGTCACAGTTGTGAGCCCCAATCTCACACTCATCAATGTCTGCAGGAAGGAAGGACATCAGAGCTGACACAGCTAGGCTTCCCTCAGAGAGGAGGGGGTAAAATCCTGCTAATGGGTCTGGGTACCAACAGCTCCCGGGATTCTGAACCCCAGGGGATGGGAACAAGGTGCTCTGGGGAAGAGGCTGCCCTGAGTTGTACCCTTGAGCTGAAGTGCTCATGGGCACAGCTCTCACCCTGTCACCCCTGGAAGATGGAGACAAAAGGAAGGGCAGGCCCCTGGCTTGGCTGTCAACTAGAAGAGTGCCAGTTCCTGCCTGCAGCCTGCCTGCCCAGGAGGGGCTCCCAGCACACAGCCACATCCCCAGGTGTGCACAGCATCCCGCAGTGCAGGGCTGGTTTCTCTCCATGGCAGCTGCAGGAGGTGTTTGTGAGGGCTCCCACCAGCACCCTCCCAGCCTGGGGTGTTCCTACCTGTGCAGCCTGTGGTTCCCTTCTTGACAAAGTAGCCCAGCTGGCAGTGACAGATGAAGGAGCCCTTCGTGTTTTCACACTCGCCATGCAGGCAGATGTTAGGGTTGAGATCACATTCATTCACGTCTGCAGGAGAGAAAGGACTTGCTTGGAACAGCACAAGAACCATGACACAACTCTGGGGTAACCCTCTGTAGCCCTTCCTCCATCCAACAGCAGCCTTGTGATGCAGTGCTGGCCACAGCCTTGTCCTCACCGATACAGGTCTTCATATCCAGGGATGCCATGAAGCCATCGAAGCAGAGGCAGCGGTACTCCCCAGGGATGTTAGTGCACTGCCCCCCATCACAGATGTCTGGATTATCCTCACATTCATCAATATCTAGAGAGGAGACCAGAATAAAGTTGTTAGAGCCAGTGAAAGGGTATTGTGGGAGCAGGAGGGAGTCACAGGAGGGACTTTGCTCCAAGTCATGTAGTGACAGGACTCTGGAGCCTTTCATGAGGGGCTGGACATTGCAGTGCAAACCAGAAACATCTGTCCAGGAAAACCACCCCTCTGGAAGTGACTTAAAGCCAACACTAAGGCTGACTGGCCATGGACACAGAGGTCTCTGGGGCAGCACCTGTGAGAGCCAAGCTGACTGCTCACCTGCACACGATCTCTTGTCTGGCATCAGAGCATAGCCTTCACTGCAGCTGCATTCGTAGCTGCCCTCCGAGTTGGAGCAGTGTGTGTCACAGCCGCCGTTGGTGATGGTGCACTCATCAATGTCTGGAGGAGAAGGGAGAGGTCAGGCAGCTGCCCATAAACGCCTTGCAACAGAGCTGCTCACAGTGCCCATAACAGAGATAATGTGGGAGAGGTGTTGAAGAGGAAATACCCCACTCCCCCCCCCTCAGCCACAAGAAAGCATCTCCTGCTTTCCATGGCAACCACTTGCAGCTCACACTGGTTTCACAGCTGATGACCAGCCTGGCTGTAGCTCAACCAGGAGGCTCCCCCCTTGCCTTACCCTCAGACACCCCACCAAGCATTTTAAGAGGCATGAGGCCAGGAGGGTTCTGGAAGTACACTGGGGTCGTGGCACAACTATTTGACAAAGAGAAGCACTCACCAACACAGCCCTGCCTGTCCAGGGTGGCCTGGAAACCCGAATCACAAGCACACTGGTAGGTACCAATGACGTTGACGCAGCGTCCATTGCGACACAGGTTGTCACTGAGGGAGCATTCGTTGATATCTGAGTAGGAAGAACAGTTTGAGCAGCTGACATCATGATGAGCATCATCTGGTCCCCTCTCTGGGTACCCCCCACCTACTTCTCTCCCCAGGCTGAATGTCACTGCCCCACTGATCAGTCTTCAGTGAACAGCAGGCAGAAAACAGACAACATCAGTGCAATGAAACCCTGGGAACGACCTCAGTCCCTCCAGGCTAAGTGTGTTCTACCCCCATCCAAGTCTCCCTGTAGCATTACCCTTGAACACACTCTGGTCCTAACATCATCTCACCTATGCAAGTGTTCCCTTCAGATGTCAGCTCATGTCCAGGGGGGCAGATGCATTCGAAGCTGCCATCTGTGTTCATGCAGATCCCACCTCTGCACAGCAGTGGGTCCCGCTCACACTCATTGATATCTACAGAGAATAACATGAAATCATAGAATCATAGATGTGATGGACTGCCCCCTTCAGCTTGGTTTTCCAGATGATGGGGTGGAGCTGGTGCCATGCACCGCAGTCCCATCACCACAGAGGGACATGACAAAAGCAACAGGGCAGTGAATGCAGGTCTTGGGTGGATTGATGGCTGAAGTATCACAGCTCTTGTCTTGAGCTCAGTAGGATGGAAAGTGTAACATGAGGAGGAAAGAAGTCATTAGCTTTGTGCAGATTAGCCAGCAAGGACTAGAAAGATAGTTCCCAGCTCCCATCCAACTATCCCAGGACACTGTCCTAGGATAACAACGTGAACATCCTTGTTACCAGCCTTCAAGTAGTGCCAGCATCACACACAGCGCTAGGAAATAGGCTGTGCACAGCTGAAAAGAAATCACATATGGACAAAGAGAGGAAATTTACTGGGAACTGGGGGAATTCCTGAAATAGATGTAACTGCTGGGAGAGGGAGGTGATCCAGGCGAGGACGGAACTGGGATGCTGAAAAAACTGATAGAGAAGTTGAGAAATGCCAGAATCAAAAAATAAACCCAAGCAAGGGAAACTTCTGGAATGGTGAACTGGAATGGGGATGGTTGGAACCAGAAACCCATGGAAGGAGGAGATGAAGAACTGCAAGTATGGAAACCGGGAAGCCTTGTTGTTGATTCCTGATCTGTGGCCCCTGGAGAAAGCTCTTTGTGATCTCCTGTGATATTGCACAGGTCTTTGTGCTACTTGTGGTGCTTCCCACAGCAAGTGCTGGCTGAATCTGATCCTCTAACTCTGGAAACAGGAATCTGAGAATGAGCTTCTCGATTTTGGTCCCAGAATAGATTCCAAAGATTTGACATCCCTGCTTGCCCCTAGCATTGGCTCGAGATGGTCTGCACTGACAGCAGGAGAGGGGAAAAAAGGGAAAGCCTTCCTGGAGCTGCTCAGAGGATTCATCTGCCCACAGCTGCACTCTGAGACATGGGCATTCAGAATACAAAGCCATGGAGTGCAACATGAATGAACTGAGTGAGCTATAACGAATGCCCCCAAACCCCTTTAGTGCCAGGAGGTTGCCTCCTGCCAGAAGCTGGCAAGAATTCCTCCATCATAAGGCTGAAGCCAAGCTCTTTTGGCAAACACAGGCAGGAAGAAGTTAATCCTTGACCATGGGAAAAGCCATAGTCTTCACAATACACTTTGGGGTGAAATGAGTCAATCCCCTGTCACCTGGAAGAAAGGATAAGGTGGAATGGGCATTATAAAGAACCCCAAACAACCCAACCCAACAATGAAATACAACATCCTTGTATAAAGATATCAGAAATCTCTTTACTGAAAGAACTTAGCAGGGCATCAGTGGGGCTGTGAATCTCAGTATCCCAGAAATGGAGATGGAAAAGCAGGAGAAGAATCAGTGTGAGCTGTGGGAGCCCACACTACAAATCATGTGGAAAGACACAAACCCACACCAGCGGCAGGGATGGATTATAAAGAACTCAGAGAAGCAAATATGAAAAAGAAATCCATGGTATCGAATCAAGCCACAGATTGAAGCGGTTTGAAAGTCCAAGCCAAAGCAGAAAGAGCAGAATATGAAGACTGTCACTCAGACAAGTTCTCCTGGCTAGACAGACGAGGAGAGGAACATGGTATGCCAGGAATTAGAGGACAGCAACAGTCTGGCTGACTTGTTGGAGACAAACTGAGGTACTGAGGTCATTGAGGGGTTTTTTTTAAGCTACAAACAAGAATCCCTCAATTGAAAGCAGATGAGAAGCTGAGAGAATAAAACCATTGGCCAGATGGGAGGAGCTGTAAAGGATGATCTGAGGAGAAAGGATGATTAAACGGGCAGGTGAAAGGGAGCCCTTACAACCCTGACTGGAAATAGAGTGGGCTGGAAGAATGCAGATGGTCTACCAGAACGCCTCATGAAGGACTTGATCTGTGCTATGGGTTTGGGGAACTGGACAGGGGCTTGAATAATGGTTGAGGCTACTGATTCATGGTTGAGGTACAAAAATGCTGCGGATCCCATGGAATGGGGCAGAAAGAGCAGCAGTTGATGAGATCTCACCCAGCAGTGAGACCAGGTTGAGAGTCATTTTAGCAAAGATTGGGTGGAAAGCAGGCCAAGGAAAACTGGTTGAATCAGCAAGATTCAAGCTGGAAGAGATGCAAGCTATCAAATGGTGAACCTCTTGCTGAGCAAGGTATTTCTCCATGTTCTCATGCCAGTGGAGGCATTTGATTTAACGGCACATGGCTGTGGGATGTGCAACGGCAGCAGTGCTATAAAGACCAAAGATTAATCTGTCTTCTAATAGAGAAGTAGAAATAATAGGTCTACTAATGTCAGTAGTGATCTAATCATAACTGACAGCTCCTTGCAAGGAACATACATTATCTAAGAAGGAGACCAAGCTACATGTAACTGAATTAAATGGCCAATGTAGCATGTGAGACATCATTTAGGGCAGGTAGATGAACCAAGTTAGGAAGATACCTGTGGTGGCATGGAGACATCTACGAAAACATCTACAAGTTGAGAAACATTCTGCAATGCTGTTGGAATAGGCATGGTTCACTGCAAGGGTTGAACATACGATACGAATCATGTCTGGAGATGGGTGTTCATTTAGAGTGTGGATATGTAAATAATCAGTGCAGAATAAACAGTAGATGGGTAACACAAGGCTGAAAATAAGTAGAAGGAGATGAGACATCACCCAAAGGAAAGAGCCAAGTGTGCATGAGAACTGGAGCTCACAGCCAATGAGTTCAAGCTGCTGGCCTGGCAGAGCTCCACTGGGCAGTAGCCAATCTCCAGTATAAAGGTTGCCGTCTCCCTACGTAGCAGGAATGAAAATACCAGGCAGGGTTCCTGTCCCAGCTCAGTGGCAATGCCAAGCTCAAGCTCCAGTTGCTGGTGGCTCAAACAAGAGGAGAGGTTAGTGGCCAAGGTTTGGTTCAAGGGGAGGTCGAAGCGAAGGAAGAATGAGCATTGTGTATGAACAAGATGGAAAAGGAAATACAGGGCCTTAGTCTAACGTAAAACAAGGGAGGCAACATTGCCCTGGGATTGCAGGGAAATGCCCTTTGGGTACAGCAAGCAGGAAAGGGATGGGAAAGAACTGGAGGAAAGCTGGTTGGTGGCACCTGGGCTCCCCTGTGGCCTCCCACAGCTGAGGGAACGGTGGCCAGGAGGTGGCAGGGCAGGACCAACGATATCCCGTCAATATCGCACAGAAAGAGCCCAAGATGCACTATACTACATATATATATGAATATATATATATACACATATAGAGTCCTTCCTGATGCTGGTCTGGGCTGCCAGTCTCCTTCTCTGGCTCATGGGGCACCACTATCCCTGGTGCCAGGCACAGGCTCTGGCCTCTGAACCAGGAGGTCACCATGAATAGAGGTCTCTGAATGAAGAACCCCAGTTTTGGGCTCCAAGTCTCACAGCCTTTTCACTGCCTCTGCATGGGGCAGAGCCTTGGGGCACTGCTAGCAGAGACAGCGTGGAGCCCCTCACTGCTGGGCTATTGGCGCAGGCAGAGCACAGCAGTCCCAGGATTACATCTGTGGTGCACTCAGCTCCACACACAGCATCCCTCTCTCTACACGTGCTGCCTTCAGCCCAGCTCCACCTCTGCAATGAAAGCAAGGCAAAAGACTCACTACCCTGGACCCCACTGCTCTCCCAGAGGGCAATGAAGAGATCTGACTTAATACCAAGGAGTGTCCGGACACACAGAGAGCAGCTTGGCACAAAGCCCTGTGTGGCACCAGCTCCTTTCCTCCCTGTTGCACACGAGTAAGGTGCAGCCCTGCCCTGGAGACAAGTCCTTACCCATGCAGTTCTTCATCATCATGAAGCCGCTCTCGTAGCCTTCGAAGCACTCGCACTCGAAGCTGCCTGGCGTGTTGACACAGGTGCCATGGCCACACAGGTCTGGTGAGATGCGGCACTCGTCGATGTCTGTGGGGAGGAAGAGCAGCTAGTGGAGGCAGAACAGACTACAAGCATCACTACAACTGCCCGTACTGCACAGCAAATTCAATGAACAAGGACTGGCAAGTCTGGCCCAGCAGACCAAGGAACTCCTCTTCCTGAAGGGAGAGACAGCAGTTAAACTTTCTCTCTAGTGCAGGATTCATCTTTCATCCCGTGAGCAGAAGGAGCCTTCTGCTCATGGTCCTGCCTTTGGCTTCTCAGTATGTCCCTAAGATAAAAGCTGTGGCTCCTCTGGGTACCACCATCATGCTAAGAATTCCATGAGGTGCACAAGGCTGCAAGATGGGCAAGAGTGTTCCAGAGGAAGCTGCTTTTCCCTTACCTGTGCAGTTCCTTTCTTCAGCATCCAAAGCAAAGCCGTTGCCACAGAGACACCTGAAGCTGCCAATGGTGTTTCGACAGGTCCCATGAGTGCACAAGCCGGAGAAGACCTTACATTCATTCACATCTGTGGGTGAAGACAGAACAGCAACGTTTCAGGGAGGGGATGTCTGCAATGAACCTTCGAGTCCCCAGGCAAACAGCAGCTCCTCTTTGCTCTCACCTTTGTAGAAAGGCCTTCCTGAAAGCACGTCTCCTCGGTTGGCGAAGCCGGGTCCCCTTGGGCAGATGGCCTTGTACTCACTGGAGCCAACCTTGGGACATTCTTCACAGTCGATGCCCCAGGCTGAGCCCACGGAGCAGCAGCACATGTCGATGCGGTACTTGCCTGGCAGAGGCTCCGTGCACTCATCTTCATCCCATTTCATGTAGCACTGCTCCACACGCACATCTGGGGAGAGAGCAGAGCTGAGCCCTTGCCTGCAGCACCCAACCTCTGGGCAAACCAGAGGTATCGGTGCCTGTGACACAGTTGGCAAGGTTCCTGGAACAGCTTTGGCTGGAGCATCCTCCAAACAATGCCCAGGTAGAGGCCATGTGGATGAGGCCACCTTGTTTGTGGTGCTACAAGGGATTTAATAGCATGGACATGGCCAGCCTGTGACTGCAACAGAACCAGAGAAAGGAACCTCCACCGTGTAGTAGTGCAGATGGCCCATATGAAGGGCAGAGTTTTGTCATGGTGTGCCCAGAAAGCAGCCAGGAGTTGGTTTAGGGCTGCTGGGCCATGTCATTAACCAATTAGGTTAATTGTATGTCTACCCCTGAAGTCCACCCAAGGAGAATGACTGTGTTACTAGCTGAACCTGCAGACATGAAGCTAGGGCAGCCTTGCAGGTATGATGTGCCATCACTCAGTTCTCAAGACTGTTGCATGTGGTGGGTAGGGGATGGTTGGACCACTGTAGATAGGGCTGAACAGTGACCAGGAGGTGTCCTTACCCACACATGTCCTAGCAGTGCCATCGAGGGTCAGTCCTTCTGGACACTCGCACCGAAAGGAGCCAGCAGTGTTCACACAGCGCCCATTTGGGCAGACACCAGGGAAGACCTCGCACTCATTCACATCTGTTGGCACAAAAGCAAGGGACAGGCATGAGAGCAGCACAGGGACAAGCCCAGTGTGGCCTTGAGGAGCTCTTGGAGGAGGTGGAAGGAGTCCAGAGCTGCCCAAAAGACTCCATCCTGTCACACAGCCACAGTCATGCCCAGGCACTTCTGCAAGGGCATTCCAAAGCCTTGTCAGAGACAGAGTGGTCCTGTTGGCTGGCATAGCACTGATACAGTGGCATCAGGACCCACAAATGTAAGTACTGCTGATGGAGCAGCTAAACTTGGAAACCCACCTCCAGGTACGTGAATGACAAGAAAATCACCAGCAGGAGTCAGCATGGATGGACCAGGGGGAGTCGTGACTGATGAGCTTGACCTAATTCTATGATAAAGTGGCTGGCCCAGTAGGCAAGGGAGCAGTGGTGGACATCGGCCACCTAACCTTCATTAAGGCCTTGAGCACTGCTTCCCATAAGGTCCTCATATAGAAGCTGCTGATGTATGGGCTGGTTGAGCAGACAGTGAGATAGATTGGAAACTGTCTGAATGGCTGGGCCCAGGGAGTGCTGTTCAGTGGCCTCAGTACTGGGTCTGATCCTGTTTCACATCATCATTAGTTATCAGGATGATGGGGTAAAGCGTATCCTCAGCAGAGCTGCTGATGGCACAGAACTGGGAGGAATGGCTGATACACCAGAAGGTCACGCTGCCATCCAGAGGGACCTTGGCAAGCTGGAGAAATGGGCTGCCAGGAACACTGATAAGTGCTGGAGGTCACCCAGCTGGAAAGCAGCTTGGCAGGAAAGGGCCTGGGGTCCTGGTAGCCACCAAGTTGAACATGAGGCAGCAACGTGCCCTTGCTGCAAAGGCCAGCGGTATCCGGGGCTGCATTAGGAGTGCTGCCAGCAGGCTGAGGGAAGTGATGCTTCCTCTCTACTCAGCATGCGTGAGGGCACAACTGGAATTCAGTTCTGGCCATCACAGTATGAGACAGAGACGGACATACTGGAGAGAGTCTGACAAAGGGCCACAAAGTGTAGATCCCCCACCAAAGACTCAGAGTCACAGGACAGCAATAAAGAGTGACCATGCTCCCAATCAAAACCCTCATCTCCTATGTCCTGCAGCAGTTTACCTTCACACGTGACCCCCTTCATCCTAGCATATCCTCGGGGACAGGCAGTATCTGCAATGAAACAGAGGAATGTCAGTGATGATATGGGCTTCCTCCTGCCTTCCTGGGGGTGGTGCTGGCAGAGCCTTACCGATCTCGCAGCGCTCACAGGGGCTGCCCCACGCTGCCCCCAGCGTGGCACAGCACTCGGATTTCAGGGTGGCCCCATTGATGTTCACCTCGCAGCGCCCATCCTGGATGTTCAACCAGCACGTCCCTTTCATGCTGTCTGGAGAGGCAAAGACAAGACACGAGTGAAGAGCTGCTCCTTGCTGGAGGCTCCCAGCTCCAGGAAGCCAGGCTGCCATGCGAAGCAGCTAGGAGGAAACTATCATGGAGCTGCAGTGGGACTATTGCTCCCTGGTGTCACTTGATCCTTCATGCTGTGGAGTAAAGTGCATGGACACAAACTCTGCTGGTGTCCTGAGCACTGTTGTGCTGTGGAGCAGCATTTCTGTGCTCTCTGATACACCTATTGCATCACTTCTGTGTCCTGCCTTTCTAGTTCCAGCCTGCTCCTCCAGTCCTTTCCTCCAGCTGCCCCTCATCACCTAGGAGTGGGAAGTGGGTACCCTACCATCTTGATGAGAAGGGATCTACTTCATCCTGATGTGCCTTCATGTCAGCACACTACAAACCCATCTGCTGAGTGAGAACCCACCATCCTGATGCCCTGAGGATCCCCTGGGACCCCATGGCTGTAGCACAGCTGGGGATCTCCATGTCTGCTGCTCACTGCTCAAAGCACTGCCTGAGGCTGCAGCTTCTCAGGCTCTCAGGATGCATGAGTCAGATGTTAACTGCTACCAACAACCAAAGAAACACTGGATGAGAAAGAGAGGGGTCAAAAGATCCCCATCCCCAAGCCACGAATACAAGGCTTGCTTCAGATGAACAGCAAGGGGTGATGATGGGCACTACTGATACCAGCCACTGTCCCAGAGCTGCCTGTCACATCCTTACCCACACAGATGGTGCCGCTGGGGTCCAGCTTGCTGCCAGGGGAGCACTCACAGGCAAAGGAGCCAGCATTGTTCCTGCAGACACCGTTCACACAGGGGTTAGAGGTGCACTCATTGATATCTGTGGGAAGAAAGGGACTGTCACTGCAGTGAGTGCCATGGGACCTTGTTTTCTGGGCCAGAGACTGCGGGGAGATGATAAAGAACATGAAGAAAAGAGGCTTTCAATCACCCAGAGGACCCTCAGTCCAGGCCATTTTTCACCTTCTTTACAGAAAACCTTTTTTTCCCCTCTAAACAGACATTCATGTGCAAAGGGCCAGTTCTCAAACATCTGAGGACTTTGTGGTCAGCAAATCATTTCCCCCACTCCAAAGTGTAAGCTTGCAATCAAATTGCCAAAACTGGCAATTTTGGTCAAGTTTTAGCTAAAAATCGAGGGCCCTAGAGGAAATTGTTGTGGTTTTCTGTCACTGAAGAGCCCAGATGGTCTGGGTTTGGATGTCTGCGCTTTTGGATGAAGTGTGAAACTTGCCCCTTGCAGGAAAAGAAACCACAAACCCAAAGCCTGGATCTGCTCCAGTTCAAACCACTGCGGTCAAAAGGGAACCAAAGACACGTTAGACCTTGAGCTCCCTTTCAGGCATGAAGATGCTCTCAGGTCCCTTCAAGTCACGTTACCTTCACAGGTATCTGTCTCCGTCCTGAAGACGAAGCCCTTGGGGCAGGTGCAGGTGTAGCTGCCGGGTGTGTTGCGGCACAGTCCATTGTCACACAGCAGGCGATTGACAGTGCATTCATCAACATCTGCGGGCAGAGAGATGGGGTTGATGAGCTACAGCATCTACAGAGCCTGAGAGGCACAGAAATGCATCACCCCCCTCAAAGCAATGCCATGTGGAAGGTATGTTACATCACATACATGTAGCCCCTTGCTATGCAATGGACATACATGTAGCTTGCTTGGTACAAGGTGCTCTGCAAACACAAAGCACCTTGTGCTCTTCCATGTGGACAACGCATCCCTGAATGGGAGCAGTGCTTGAGGGCATCAGCTCTATCACCCCAGGCTCCTGTGCAGTCAGAGCCTGCATCTGGCTCCTAGGTCCACACTGAGTGCGTGCCACCCTCTCCCCAGCATCCCTGAGCTCCTGGGTCCCTGCCACAGGGAGCTGGAGCTGCCCTGAACTCACCCACACAGTTCTTGCCCGTGGGATCGGACTCGTAGCCCAGGTTGCAGATGCAGCGGTAGCTCCCGCGCAGGTTCTCGCACATGCCATTGGGGCAGATGTCAGGGTTGAGGGCACATTCATTGATGTCTGCACAGGGAAAGAAGGCAAATCAGATGGATCCTGGCAAACGCAAATACAGAAATCTGCCCCCCATGAATTCTTCATTGTTCCTTACAGTGGGCACCCCACTGCAGAAATCCTTCCTTCCTGTCCTACTGGTTTGATCCAGGAGGTCCTGGAGACCCCTTTTCCTCTCTTTCTGGGGCTTTGGCACTGGGCATCTCGTCCTGGGGATACACAGGTATGATCAAGCACAGGGCTCTGAGCTCAGAAGGAGAGAACTGGATAAGGGTTGAGATAAACCCAGACTCAGCTCCATATCAAGGGCTCTCAGGTCTTTCTGTTACATTCCTGGCTCTCCTTACAGTATCTTTATCCCAAGTACTCATGGCACACCATTTACTTATCCCTTCTAATGGTAAAGCTGGGAGGAAGAACTGGTTGTAAGACGCTATGAGCAGGATGCTGGGTCCAGCTGGGGCAAGGGCAGAGCATGATGGGCAACCTGCTGTGGTGCCCAGGCAAAGAGATTTGAGCCTGGCTGGAACCAGGCTGCCCACAGAACAGGGCAGGTTTGTGTTTGTGCAGCAGCGTCCTCACGGTGCCATAGAGCCAGATGGCAAGAAGCCCAGGCCAGGGCTTCCCAGACACTGCTGGCCTTTGTCTCCACGCCGTTGGATTTCGGTTACATCCCCAGGGAAATGCAACCCTGGAGAGCACTGAGTGCATCCAGCCCTGGCTGTGGGCAGCAACGGGCTGACCAGAGCACGTCTGATGCTAGCTTCTTGCTAGAAAGCATCTTATCGTTAGCCTGAGAGTGACTTTGGCCCAGAGACGGTGCCCTGGAAGGAAGCCCAAGAAGTCACCAGGGTTTTGCCTCTGGCTCATTCCCATTTGGAAAGTTCTGAAAGACCGGAGCTCTCTGGCTGCGTTGTGCTCTTCCTGCTGATCCAAGCACTGCCCGGGGCTGGCAGCACAGCCGCCTGCCTGACCTCTTGCTGTCTAATTCAAAGCAGCCCATTGGCAACACATCCCAACACACGCTTATCACCTCCCTCTCCCTGAGCCCTCTTCCCCCGTGACCACGGAGCTGGAGGGCAGAGGATGGAAACAAGCAAGAGGATGCAATTGGTCATGCTCTTCATTCCCACCAAAGCAGGGAGTAAAGCCAGACTCTGTGTGTGCATCCCCAGCAACGGAGTTCCCACAGGGTGCCAGGAATCAACTCCTTGATTCAATGCACAGTCCTCGGGGATGCTTGCTCAACATTAACTCATGGAGGGAGGAGACAAGACACACAGCACTGCTCTCTCCCTGTGCCCAAGCTCACATCCCACCCACTGACACTCACTCACACAGATAGGCTCTTGCATGCACTCACACCCACCCAGGCTATGCAAACTACCCTGTGCTTACTCACAAACAGCTCTTACATACACGGGTGTCATGGACTAACTCTCCAGCACACCCTCCGCAGTGCCAAGCCTCCCATGGCACACACACCTACAGATGCATGCATGCTCCATTAAAAGCAGCTGAAAGAAAGAGCTGAGAGTGATGTTAGAGGTGCTTGTCTAACCTCTGGCCCATGGGATGCACGTACCTCTGCCATCAGCTGTTATTCCAATGCCACTGCTGCAGAGCGCCTGGAATTCAGCTGTGTGGAAAGCACAACAGAGCTGTTAGCTTTTCTAGACAGTTCACACATAGTCACATCAACTCTTGGTAATGCTGGATTTATTGCTTGGTTGGATGTCACCTATGGGCTTCCAAGCAGTGTCAGTTTACACTTATACAATGTGTATTTTAGAGCTGACACTCAATAGAAGCCCTGCAAAGAGATCAGCATCAGATTTGTGGACCCAACCTCAATCTGTAACCGCGTGGCATTCCTTTCCCACTGCCTATGGCTCTCCCATGTCCCTGCCAAGCTGTGAAGGCCATCTCCAGGAGCTGGGATGTCTCTCAGCACCTCCCAGGCTCCTTGCAAACTCAGATGGAAGAGGAGCTCACCAGAGTTCTTGGCTGGACAGGGCTGGCAGGGCTCTCCAAAGCCATGGTCCGGGTTAGCGCAGCAGCACTCAGACTTGGTGACTGCCCCTGGGAAGGGACGAGCACATGTGCCCTTCTTAATGCCTCCGTAGCAGGTGCTGCGCATGTGGGTGTCCACACAGACCCGTCCATCCACGCCGATGGCCAGGCCCCCCAGGCACTCGCAGCGGAAGGAGCCCTCTGTGTTGATGCACCAGCCATTCATGCAGATCCCTGGTGTCTCACACTCGTCGATGTCTGAAAGAGGAAGGAGAAAGTGGCTGTCACTTACCCACAGGCAGGAGACACTGACAGGAGCTTTGCCCTCTTTTGCAGGGTGACTTGGATGCTAAGAGGGAGCCAGAGGTGCAGTTAGAGCATCACATCCCTTGTGTGCTCTGCTGACTCTTCCTGATGGTTCGAAGGAAGCAACAGGGGTCTTTGGTCTCCTGAGACCCAGATCATTCTCTGTTTACAGCTCAGTGACCCAGAGAATTCACCCCATGCCACAGCAGCGTGTCAAAGAAGTGCTGTGCTCTCCTCCTCCTCCTTTCTCCACTCTGCCTTCACATTCTAACCTGCCTGGCTTTGGGAGGTGGCCCACAAAGCGCACTGGAATGTGCTGGGGAAGCTGTGGAGATGACTGCTGCCAGCTCACATAGGCAACAGGAAGCTTCACAGCCCTGTTTTACCTCCCCCAGAAAGAGGATTGAAGCTCCAGTTTGTGGAGGTGCAAGAACATTTCCCCTGTGCCCATTTTGCTGTGAGGGGCTCATTTCTGAAGGCAGAACAGGAGATGTTTGGCAACAGCCTTGGTTTTCCTCATCTCCTCTTGTCTCAGACACATCACAAGTCCCCAGGAATGTGGGCAGCAGGCTGGGAAGAGGACAAGGACCAAGGCTGGGGACCTACGCACCGACACAGTACCGCCCATTGGGAGCCAGCACGAAACCAGGCTTGCAGATGCACTTGAAGCTGCCATCCTCATTGATACACATCCCATTGAGGCACATGTTGGTCGTGGCACATTCATCATGATCTGGGGAGGACAAACAGAAACCATGAGTTGAGGCTGAGAGCATCAGCAAGGCTCTCCTGTGCTCAAAAACACTCTGACTCCCATCTCATGGTCAGATTGGTTCTTATGGCACTGGGTGCTAATCCTCAGGGCAGAGTTCCCACTGCTGCTCCTGGGTGAGAGCTGTCCTGCTGCATCCCTGCTGCTCTCAGTACCATGGTCACCATGCAGCACACAGTAGGTCTCAGACACTGGCTGCTGGAGAATGTCCTTCCACACCCAGCCCTGCCCATGCTCCTGGACCCCAAAACCTACAGGAGCACTCCAGCAGCACTAGCACCCTTACAAAACACCTTCCCATTTCAATCCTCTCATTTTAAGATGCACTCTGCCCTAGAGATGAAGGGAATACAGCAGAGATTAATCACCAAACCCTATGAAGGACATAGTCTCAGTCCCAAGTGCATCGGGAGATAGCTTACCAACACAGTTCTTGCCATCAGGGGTGATTTCAAAGCCTGCATTGCAGATACACTGGAAGCTTCCATCAGTGTTAACACAGCGGCCGTTCCTACACATCACCCCGTTCATGATGCACTCATCGATATCTGCCAGGGAAATAAACACAGGAAAGTAGCAGCAGGTGGAGAGAAAAGCAATCCAGTTTAGGATCAGATCCAATTTAGGATTATAGAATCATAGAATGGTTTGGGTTGGAAGGGACCGTAAGATCATCCAGTTCCAACCCCTGTCACTGGCAGGGATGCTTCACATTAAGACCATGTCACCCAAGGCTCTGTCAATCACCTTCACAGAGAAGAACTTCTATCTTATCTCCAACCTGAACTTCCCCTGTTTCAGTTTGAACCCATCACCCCTTGTCCTATCACTGCAGTCCCTGATGCAGAGCCCCTCTCCAGCATCCTTGTAGCCCCCTTCAGACACTGGAAGCTGCCCTGAGGTCTCCACACAGCTTCTCTTCTCCAGGCTGAACAGCCCCAAAATGCCACATGGAGCAGGTGTTGTAAAGAGGAAGTGAGGACCTGATTTCCACCACCAGAAAGAGAACCACAAGAAGGATTCAGCTTAAAAGATTTAGTGTCTCTTCCAACCCCAACCATTCCATGATTCTATGACTCTTCGCTCTCCTCCCCCTTTACAATCATTTTCCTTTGGTACCTTGGTCTCATAACCCACTGACAGTCTTACAGTACGCTGTGTCCTCCCCAAAAGAGAAACAGAACACACTTACCAATGCAAGCCTGCTTTGTTGGGGTGCTCTGGAAGCCCTCATGGCACTTGCAGTGGTAGGAGCCCGGTGTGTTCACGCAGTCACCATGCACGCAGGGGCTGCTGGAGCACTCATCCACATCTGCAAGAAGAAAAGCCCAAACCCATGAGTCACCGTGATAGACAGCAAGCTCCAAGGAGAGGCAGCAAAGGCTGCCTTGATCCTGTCCTTTCAACCCCAGCACTCAGCATCCTGACACCACAACCAGTAATGGATGCATCCCTTCCCTCAAGCGAACCAACTGCAACACTCAGCTTGGTGTCATCTGCAGACTTGCTGAGGATGCCCTCAGTACCACTATGGCGTTGATGAAGACATTAAAGAGCACTGTTCCCAGAATGGACTCTTGAGGGACACCACTCGTTACTGGTTTTCACTTGGACATTGAGCCATTGTCTGTAAGCCTTTGAACACAGTCCTCCAGCCAATTCCTTATCCATCCAGCGGTCCCTCTGCCAAACCCACATCACTCCAATGTAGAGGTAAGAATGTTGTGGGTAACTGTATTAAAGACCTTACAGAAGTCCACACAGATGACAGCCACAGCTCTTTCCTGTCCACTGATGCACTCACATCAAAGGCCACTAGATGGGTCAGGCACAATTTGCCCTTGGTGAATCCCATCAGCTCCCAACAGACCCAGCTTCTCAAAGGCAGACCCGTGATCATAGAAGCCAAAACCTTGAGTATGGCAGCAGGCATGCAGCCTGCATTCACCCTGTTTGATTCTGCTCCTCCTTCCTGAGCCCTTTCCTCTGGGAGGACAGAATAACACCGTCTGCTCTCAGTGACATACAGTCTCTTGGTGCTTCTAAGTTGCCTTGCTGCAGTATCATCAGACCCTCTATGGATCTAGGCTGTATGATTGGCTCTTCCTGGATCTTCTCTACTCACATACCCATCATCCTCCAAACCCAGTGTTGTGTCTCTTATGTAGGGGCACTTCAGAGGAGGGTTCTTCCTTCTTCCCTGAGCAGAAGCAAGGATCCAATCTCTTCATCTTGAGACTTACTTATGCCAGTCAGCTCGAGGTTGAATTCAGGCTTACCTCCCCTTGCACAGCCTTAATGCAGGGCTGTCACTCAGGCTGGGCCAACACACAACGCCACGCAGTATCGCACATTCCTGGCTACTACACTGCTGCTTGTGGCAGTGCTGTGGCTACCACAGGAGTGCTCACCCTCGCAGGGCACACACCCCCTTTCTGCCACGCTGCTTTCTAACCTGACATGAGCCCTCTGTCTCCAGTGCCTTGTGTGGGTCTCTGACTGCGATGGGGGCTATGGGGCAGCAGCTACTCACCAATGCACTCCCCGCGCACGTCCTGCTTGTAGCCCATGTTGCACTCGCAGCGGTAGCTGGATGGGGTGGGGATGCAGCGCCCGTTCAGGCAGAGGTTAGTGAAATGCTTGCAGATGTCAATGGTCTGATTCAAAGTGGCAGTTCCTGCAAAGCACAACAGACAGCATCAGGCAGAGGATTACAGCTCCCTTGACTGTGCTCAGGAAGCACAAGGGTCCTTAAGTCCAAACCCTGTGACAACGATGCTCCTGAACAACCATGGGGCTGCAGACACAAACTCAGCTGCCTCAGGAGCCTCTGCAGGGTGCTGCAGTACCGGGCTGACATGCACGAGATGCCTCAGCCTCTTGGAAGAAAGGTGGGAATCAATATTTATTGACATCCAGTGCATCTTCACAGGCTTCAGCCCTTAGCATGGAGCTATACAGGGATGCCCATGAGAGAGGTACCCAAAGTGGTAGGAAAACCAGTTTTGTAGGGGGGGAGGCAGAGAGGGAGGTGCTAACGTGAAAGCTTCATTCCTATTTGGTCATTAGGAAGATACTGTGTACGGGAGCCAGGCTCAGCTCTTGCCTTGCCAGCAGATGCTGTTTGATCTGCTTCTGGCCTCAGCACCCTGCACAGCATTAGTGTCACATCCCATCGCTCGCCTTGTGTCAAAATAAACCCCGTTGCTGTCTAAGAACAGGGCCGTGTGCAGGGACCAGCAGGCAGGAGGAGGCGCTGCCGTGTCCTGAGACAAGCAGCCACAGTGGGTCAGCGCAGCAAGCAAGTCAGTTTAATTACCAATGCTGGAGCTTCCTGCGCCCATTCCAGGCAGACCGGGGATCCCGCCTTGTCCGTTTGCCCCATTTGGTCCAATGCCTCCAGGCCCATTGAGTCCTGGCCCAACACCGTTGGGCCCGAATCCAGGAATTGCTGGAAAGTTCCCAGGGAACCCTGGCACGACTGGGAGTCCTTCGATGCAGAGCCTGCGGTACTCATCTGAAACAAAACAGCTGCCTTAGTGCTTCTCCAAGAGGGCCAGAACCCTCCTGCTGCCTCTGCCGGAGTGCAGGGAACAGAGGGATGGAGAGGGACTGGCAGGGAGCAAAGAGGATGGGTGCTGATGGGAACAGGGCAGATGGGTGAGGAGAGCTTTAACACCCTTTGCTCCGGAGCAGATGGTGAGACACAGCTTGCCAGGGTGTTTGGCAACAGCTTCTCAGGGTGCATGGCACCATGGGCTCCCTTCATGCAGGAAAGGACAGGACATGGGAAGGTGCCAGACTCTGTAAAGCTCTGCCCTGCTCAGAGCTGGTGTTGGAAGAAGAGAGGCAGAGAGCCGTATTTACAGTGCTGTGCCTCCCCGAGGCCTCCTGCTGCCTGGGCTCACCCTCATTTAGCCCCACGGTTCAATTATGGTCTGAGCCAAAGGGAGCTGAAGGGGCAGAAAGAAAGGGACAACTTCTTGCCTTGGCTGAACTCATCAGGCTCAGCTTCAAATGAGACCCAGGCAGGACAGCCAGCATCCCTGTGTGACCCTTCCCTGCATCATATGGTGATGATCCTCCACATCAAACCCTGGGTTCCACCATGGCCATCAGAGCCAGGACTTGCCCATGGATGGAAGCTCTTTGTGGTGCACTTACCAGAGCCGCGGACAGGGCACATCTCTGGGGTCTGAGCGATGGCCCAGCAGCGCCCGGAGTCGCAGCAGCACTGCATCTTGGTGTACTGGCCAGGAAGGTCCCCGGCACAGCGGCCCCCGATCAGCGCAGAGAAGCACGCCCCGATGCGCTGGTCTGCAGAGGGAGAGGACGAGGAGCCACGTTCACAACCTCTCATCACCACGCTCCGGGTGAGTGCCCATTCCCAGTGGGGCCTTTTCCAGCTGCCCAATGTCCCAGCCTGACCTCCTGCTCTGCCTCATCCTCCCCACATGATGAGGTTCTCCAGCCCCTCCATCTGGAGCACGCGAAGGCTGTAGGGCCAGGCCTCATTTCCCAGTATTACATCTCATATCCCCATCTAGGCTTCTAAATACTATAAGCAGGTTGAACAAGAACCAGAAACAGGCAGTAGGTGGGCAATCCCTCTCCACTGGGAGCTGGGCAAGCTGACCCAGCAGATTCTGGCTGAATTCACAGATGAGATCCCCCACCTCATCCCATGCTTCCTCACCTTCCCAGGGAAATGGGGTTATTTACAGGTCTATCTCCTCTCACCAGAGCTGCTGCACTTACAAAACATGTCAGAGATGGGTTCCCCCACTGACCAGCTCCAGCTGGGACAGGGAACAAGCTGAGATGGGGTGGTCTGCAGGAGACCACTGTAGACACTGACACTATGGGCACCAGGACCTATCCCCTCGCTGGGGACAGATAAACTGCTATGGACTACATCATATTAAACAAAATAGCATCCTGGGGCTAAGATGTCCATTCTTCAGGTTCCTCCTCTGACATTAGCATCTGTCTTGCTTAGTTGTATTTGTGAGCAAGGGTTGGCCATCAATGCGAACAGTGAAGTCCAACAGGCCCTGAACTTGGCTACATGGAGGCTTCTCCTCTCTTGGGCCTAAAAACACTTCCTCATGATAGAAACAACCCAGTGCTGCCTGCTGCTGTTGTGAGGGCTCCCAGGCTGAGTGGGCAAACCCCAGCATTCCTGCTCCAGGCTGAAGTCTTGGCAGAGCTGGCAGACCACAGTGGTCAGAGTTCCCTGCACCACTTTGGCCAGGCTGGGGATCCAGGTACTTCCTGCATCAGTGATCCCTGATGCCGTGCTAAGGAAGGGCCTTCCCACAGCCATCTCTGTCCAATGTGGTCCAGCACATCTCAGGCCTGGCAAGGACCTGAATCTCATTCCCACAATTGATTTAATGGCAAATGTCCCAGGCTTCCCACGAGGACGCATTCCCTGCCAGGTCCCAGCATCTCTCACTAAACAAATGGACCTGTTCCTAATTCCACATCCCTCCAGCCTACCCACTCCCATTCCCAGTGGATGCCCGCTTCAGGTCATGGGTCAGTTCCCACAGCCTGGGCTGAGCTGGGAGGAGAACAAGTCCTGGATGGTGGTCAAAGTGCATGAGCCTGGCCAAAGCCACAGACACCGAGGCTGGCACCAGTGTTTGGTGTGTGTGGAATCTGGACCAGGCCCAGGAGACTGAGGGTCTTTCACACGTCTAGCAGGCTCCGTCTGGCACCAAATCCTCCAGGAAAACCTGGAATCTTCCACTCATTCATCTCCTGCCCTTATTTCTCAAGTGAATTAATGAGGGGGAAAGTCTGGTGTGATTTCTCATCTGTGCCTCTGGCCAGCAGGCTGACACTTCCCTCAAGTACCGTTGGGATCAGTTGCATGGAGCTGTTTGATCTCTGGGCTGTGGTTGCATGTCTTCTCTCATCACAGCTCAATGACTTCCAGAGGACAGTGACCCCATTTAAAGCCAGGGGCACCAAACCCACAGGTCTTTTCCTCAGATATTTCCTTTTCTGGGGTTCATGGGTTCAGCCCCTTCTGGGAAACTTCATCCACCAAGGAAACTTGAGTGAGGGGACTGAATGCAACCCTGATTAGCTCCTACTTGCAGTGAAGGGCAGTACAAGGACAGGGGTGTTTAGGTCATCCCAAGCCCTTGATCTCTGCCAGGTGGCAAGAGTGCAAGAGCAATTCTCATGCCCTTGAGGTTTCAGCAGGTGCTGGAGGTAGGAGATGGCACCCTGACAGGTTGATGTTCCTCAGCATCCTCTCAATGCAGAAAGAAGCTGCTCTCTGGACAAGCCAGGGCAGGATAGTGGGGCCATCTGGGAAAGCTGCACCTCCAACCCTTAACGGGTTTAGGGCTGAGTTAAAATGAACCTCGAGATCTGAGGGTGGCAGTTTGGAATAAGCCCTTTGGGCATTAGAGAGGATAGATCCCACCCGGCTCCTACTGCTCTTCTGTGGGATGCTTGCTGTCCTGAAGCTGTGATACATGGTGACAGCCAGGCAGTTAATGGGTAAGGAGGGATTTGGAGAAGGCAGCCTCCCTCCCCACAGACAGACATGTGCTGACAAGTTTGACAAGGCAGCGAGGTCACAGCAGTGTGTGCAATGGAGGGAATGGTCCAGCCCTTACTCATCTGGACGCGGTTATTAAATTCAGCTGCCTTTGCTGCAGTTTGCAATCATCTCTCTCAGAAATAAAGGTCAGAGCTAATTGAAAACTCATCTGGAGCTGCCTTTGGGCAGAGAGAGGGGTGGATGGAAAGAACAGCGGGTCTCTGCAGTCCCCCTGTGACCTCCTGCAGGACCACCCACACCAGCACAAAGCCATGGTGGGTTTGTTCTGCCTCCCCCTGCAGCTTTACAGGGAACAGGTTTGCACAATAACCCTGTAAATCAGATAATGCTGCAGGCAAGAAAGGAGGTAAAATTCCACATGAGATTAGACAGTGCACAGAGGTGGGGGATAGAGCCACAGGTCTGCCAGAGGTCTCTGATTCCCCTGTTCAAGATTGAACCCATCACCCCTTGTCCTATCACTGCAGCCCCTGATGCAGAGCCCCTCTCCAGCATCCTTGTAGCCCCCTTCAGACACTGAAAGCTGCTCTGAGGTCTCCACGCAGCTTCTCCTCTCCAGGCTGAACAGCCCCAGTGTTCTCAGCCCGGCTCCATACAGGAGCAGCTCCAGCCCCTGAGCATCCTCATGGCCTCCTCTGGACTTTCTCCAGCAGCTCCATGTCCTTATGTTGAGGACTCCAGAACTGCAGGTCATCTGTGCACAAGGTGTCTAAGACCGGTTGTGCACCTGCAAAGGACTTTGCAGTTTTCATCCCTGTTTCTTTGCTTGGTGATGGGGTAGGGACAGGAGGAGATGGAGGAATGGAAAGTCCTGGTGCTGCTTCCCAGGAGAGCCCTTCAAAGGGTGGGTATTTCTCTCATTCTGTGCCTTGTCGTGTACAGAAACTGAGAAGCCCAAGTGACCAAGCCCAAGCCAGTGGTTGCAAAAGGCAGTTGGCTTTGTCTACAAAGGACTTGAGGGCTATTAGCTCAGAATGGAGCTGCAACACAGCAGCACGTAGCCAAAGGTCTCCCACCCAAGATGTCCAATGGTGCTTGGTTTGCAAGGAAGGAGGATGCAAAAAGGAGCCTCATACTGCGGTGAGGACAGTCAGTCTAGACCGATGATGCCATCCTGTGGTCCCTGTTTTGGAAAACTCACCAGTTTCCTTCTTGTCTGGGTAAGATTAGATGGTGGTGTCTGTCTCAGTGAAGAGTCACGCTAGAACCAAGGCACAAAGCACAAAGCATCCCTCCGTGCACAGCTCCCGCATCCCTCAGTGCCTTGGTTGCTACTGAGGAGCTCTGCTCAGGGCCCTAGCTCCTTATCAACCTGCTTTGAGCCTGTGACCCTCACCCCATTTCCCTTTGTCATTCCTTGCCCTCAGAAATATCTCCTCCTATTTCCTTATTCCTCTTGCTCTTTCCTTCCCTGGATAATGACCAAGGTGGGTGAAAAGGTGTCCCCAGGCAGGTGAACTCCTCAGTGACACCCTCACAACCTTCTCTGAGCCCAGGACGTCGCAACCATAAGCAAGATCTGGCCCTACCCAGAACTTTAGGCAATAAATGTGCTGCTGCTGCCCAAGCAAAGCAAGACCCAAATCCTTCAGAGCATTTGCTGCACTATCAGGGAAGAAGAGCAAAGAAAGCGATGTGCAGAAGTGCTGACTTGCCTCAAACAGGGGAACACCATGTGCATGTCTGGAAACGCATCTGCAAGGCTGTTTCCTTAAGCTGTTCTTGGAAAGCAACACATTGGACTGGAAAGGGAAAACCCAGCTCCCAGCCTGCTGGAGCTTCTGCAAGACCCTGAGCCTGCCTTTGACAAGCCTGACTGAATGAAGCTGCTCTGAACATGCGTGGAATTGGATTCCTTGTGTCAAGCACAAGTGGTTGAATCATTCAATAAATCACAGCGTAGCACAGAATCATAGCATCGAGTAGGCTGGAAAAGACCGTTAAGATCATCAAGTCCAACCATTATCCCAGGACAGCCAAGCTCCCACTAAACCATATCACTGAGGGCTTCGTCTACGTGGTTTGTGACCACTTCCATGCTCGTTTCAAACTCTGACAGCCTTTCTCCAGCTTTGCTGCTGTTCCCGTTTCACACTGAAAGCACCTAATGAGGGTTGGGCTCAACCCAAGCTCGGGGCCTTGCTGTTTCAGCTGCAGAAACTACAGGAGATTGTGCAAATGCAATAAAAAGGTGTTTACTTTACTAAAAAGGGAGGGGAAAGGGATGGGAATATATGAAGGCTGCCACCATAAAGTCACCACTTCGCCAGTGCTGGTGCCCCATGATATATGAGGCCCTGTGGTCACGTCCAGTCTAAACATCTGGAGGTGGCAGTGTGACAATCTCTTCAGCTCTCTCCTGACGCTGTTCATCCATGTTATGTATTCGTTTCCAGTTTTACAAACTATTCCTGTGATTTATTTCAATCGGGGACTTGAACGACCATAAACCCCAAAACCAAGCACTAAAACCCCCCTCAAATGCTAGAAACAAGTCAGGGTTTGCAAAATCTGGATCCCAGGGCAACAACACCCCAAAAGTAATTGTGTCTTATGCCAGAATAAATACTGTCTGTCCCAAAACGTGGCAGCACAGCAGCAGCATGTATGAGCTGAGGGAAATGGCTGGAGCATGATGTATTGAGTTCAGCTGCAGTCATAGTCCACTGCAGCTAAACAAGCTTCGGTCCTTTCCAACCCCCAGCTACTCCATGATTCTATGAGTCTATGGCTATTTTTAAATCTGGGCTTTCTAATTTTACTTCATTTTCTCGTCTCGAAGCTCTTGGTTTCAAGGAAAGTGGGAAATGTCCATATGACCCATCCAGCCCTCCGGGCGGATGGCAGGGTCTGGGAATCAAGAGAGGAAAAGCAATTCATTCCCATTAAACTCTATCAGAGGTGATTCTTGTGTTAGACTCGACCCCGGTTTTCTTTCCACCACTAAAACATGATTATTTTGTACTCATTTCTGTGGCTAGAAAAGAATCTGGAAGGGATTTTTTTCCCTGTATTCATTTCCAGGACTCAACAGAAAGCGGTACCTGACATTTGCCATCGCACTAATATTGCTCTTGTACCAGTTTCTCTTCACAAATCCGTGCATCCTTGCCTTTCAAAAGGCAAATGAACTTCCTGAACAGCGAGACAAACGCTGGGGTTCATTTTGACTAAAGTGCCCCTGCTGAGAGCAAGTAAACAGAGCGCTGGTCTGTTTATCATAGAAGCTGTTGTCTGTTACAGAGAGAAACGGACCATCAAATATTGACAAGGCTTGGAAGGGCGTTCTGATCTGTTAAACACACAAGATTCACTGCAGGCTCGGCAGTCTGGACGGCTTTCACTGCACCGAAAGCTTGTGCTGGGGAGCTCTGAAATCCAGACACCTTGAGCCAAACAGGAGCAGCACACACCAGCCCCACCAAGGCCTTCCAGCACCTGAGCACTGTGATGTTCAAGAGCTGAATGGTGGCCTTGTAAACAGGTTGAACACGGGAGCAGGAATAGGTGTCAGCGATGCTGTCCTTGGGAAGCATCTCTGTTTCTCCACTGGGTACAGAGGGGATGCAGACCAGCAGCTCAGTGCAAAGCAGCTCACTCCCAAAAGGCTGAGTTCAATGGGATGAAGCCAATTGAGTCCACAGCCCTGTTGATTATTAGCTTGGGGCAATTGGGATTTATGAGCCATTACCTGTGGTCTAAGCAGGAAAGAGGAGGAGATTCTAGAAGCCACTGTTTGTTTGCATTGGTTCTGCAAACACTTGGAGTAAACCTTTCCCCACTTCGCCTGTGCAAGGCAAGCGGGTGAATGTGCAGGTGTGGGATGACACCTGGTGAAAAGGGCAGCACCTGGGATTCTCCCACTAACTGATGCAGTTCTGTAGGTAGGAGCACAAGGATCCTTCCTCAACCAGACACCTGCCCCCCCCGCCCTCCTCCTCAGTGTCTTTAGCAACCCTTTTTCAAACACCTCAAGCACTGAGGTTCCTGCAGTCCAAATTATGGAGAGGGAGAAAGCCCTGGTCTGTAAGAGCATCAAAACCTGTGACCAGAACAGGCACACGCAGGGACAGCACAAGGAAAAGAGCATTTTCCATCTATTGCAGGAGCAACGTGCCCTCTGATCTGCAAAGACAGTGATCTGGTTCAGGGCATGAAGTCTCCCTGTACCTGTGGTGCTCAGATGTATTTAGCATCTTACCAATGCAGCGTGATCCATCAGGGCTGGTCATGAAGCCACGTGGACACGTACACACGTAGCTGCCTGCTGTGTTGGTGCACTCCCCTCCATCGCACACGCCAGAGATTGCACCACACTCGTCCACATCTAGAAAAGAACAAGCCAACAGTGATTAGGAACCCCTGCAAATCACCTCCTGGCCTGGAGTGCAGATCCAGGACCAGCGCTGGGATCGCAGAGGAAAGTAGCTGCTGCTATGGGTTGTCATGGGATGCTTGAGACCAGCGCATGCATTATCTGCTGAGTTGCTCCATACATGAGGGATTTGGATGAATTTTAAGTGCATTCAGACATCTAAATCCAGGTGAAAAGGCCTCTGTACTACCAGTTAGGCAAGGAGGGTCCAGCTCCCATCAGCTGTCATGCTGTGGGGTCAGCTCCTCCATCAGCAGTCCTATTTTAATGTGATTTGCATATCAATGCCATGAGCACGCCATAGTTGGAACTGTTCTATCTCCTCACAGGGAAAACTAGAGCGAGAGAGAGTCCTTGGAGGCATCCCACCTAATTACCCATGGCAATCCAAGAAACACCATCCCTGTTAGCAAGTCCTGCCCCACACTGTTTCTGCTCAGCCTGCTTCTCCAGCAGCCAGCCCACTGCTGTGTGTGTGACTGTAACACACCAGGGAGGTGCATCTCTCTGGATTTAAAGCATGGAAAATAAGGACGTTGCCATGAGGTTTTGGAAGGTGGAACAGCCAGACCCAGGCCACAGAAGGACCAGGCAGCCCTGGTGCCCATGCAGGTGGTAACAGTCATGGGAAGGTTACAAGAGCACCAACTCCCAGAGGCAGTCAGCCCAGTCATGTAGCTTCTGAATGTACAAAGTGTTCCACAAGCATCTCTCTAGTGTGAAGGTAGGGCAGGCTCCATGTTCAAGCTGAAAGTGAACAAGGCTCCACCACCAGCTCACCATAGAGATGTGCTCATTGCCAAGATCCTGGCTGCCTGGCTCTGCATCCTAAGATTGCTTCTGGAGATGAAATCTTGCTCAGAGTTAGATTTTAATCCACGGTGCAAGAAGTGAGGTGGAAAGATGAGACCCTACAGGGTTTGCTTGAGAACTGTAGGATGCTCCAGCCTTTTCAGGCCATTTCTGTTACAACCTTGACAAAATTCTTGAGCAGAAAGTTCAACAAGTACCAGTACAGATGATACAGAGAGAGACAGGCTCTAACTTATAGAATAGAACAGTTAGGGTTGGAAAGGACCTTAGGATCATCTAGTCCAACCCCCCTGCCATGGGCAGGGATACCTTCCACTAAAACTTATGAGTGCAGCTATCACCTGGGACCTAAAACTTTGAGAAATCAATGGGAACAGAGGGGTAAATCAGTTCTTTTAAAAAGGGCAATCTATTTTCCACTAATTAATATAATTAGTATATATTAATATTAATATATAATGGTGATATCATTAAATGCAGAGTTTCCAGACATGCTTTTGGGGCACTTGACTCAAGGACTTGTCTGGGAGCAGGATTATTGATATTTCTATTGCCAACTGAAATCTGATTCAGAAACTGAGATGGAATTAGAGCCAACCTCTACTTAATCCACCCAAAGCCATTGGTTGGGGGTTATGGTGCAGGTGGTGGTAAAAGACAGAAGCAATATTTGCCCAATAGTTTTTACAGTGGCAAAATAAAAGAAACACCAGAAAATCTGCCTTGGCAATTGGCAAAATAAATCATTTCTGCTGAGCAGCTTGATTTATTGGATTTTAAATCTACAGTGCTGCTGTGGATGGCTAAGGGGGGGTTATATGCAATTCAGATGCTGCCTGGGGCTGGCAAGCAAAGTAATGAAAAGGAACTGGTCAAAGCCTGCTCCTTTGAGGGGGTTTTGCTGATGTGAACAGCACAGCCACCTTGCACAGCCTGATGGCATTAGCATGTGTGAGGTTAGAGCTGCTGCAGGGCAAAGGCAGAACAGTAAAGACCTTTCACATGGGAATGGGGATGGAGAATGTCTTTGGAAGAGCTTATTCATGAGGCTTCAGTGATGAAGGGGTAATGGGAAAGTTACCTGAACCTAACCCATCAGGGCAAGAGAGGGATCGGAGAAAACTGGGCTGGGAGCTGGAAGAGCTGGCTCTGATGATGGGTGCATGAGCCACAGTGTCAGAGCTGAGCAAGAGGCTTGGAATCTGTGTAAGAAATAGGTGTGAGTTACCCAGAGGGGTGCTGAGCTGTGTTCTGTCCAGTGAGAAACCGGGAAAAGGACTTGGGAAGGAAATGTCAGACTCCAATCTCACAGTGCCATGCAGTGGCTACCGGTGCGAGTGCAGCCCTGTGCAGGAGCAGGTAGGTGATGGTACCTCTGAACAAGGTTAATCCCTGGATCCCAGAGCTCTGTGTGGTGCCAGCTCTCACAAGAGGGTGATAACAGAAAGGAGGGGTCAGACAAAGTGAGACACAGTGGAATTCATCCCGCCCAGTCCGGCAATAGACAGTGGCAGTGAGTGTGTTCAAGATGGTCTGAGCTGCCTTTTGAAGTGAGACCTACAGTATGAACAGAGACCCCACCATGGGTGCTTCGTGTGGTCAAATCAATCCCCTTCAATCCCTCCTCCTTGTTCACACAACCTCTTACAAACACAATTGGCTTCTTTTTCCCTTTGGCTGCAACTCCAAATCCTGCGGGATTGAGTGAAACCCCGACTTCAACACACACAAAGTGAAGCCCAAGTGCATAGGGCAGGTTGTACACCCATACATCAAGGTGCATTCCTATTTGGCTTCTTAGGAACCCTGGAACTCAGCCAGCCAAAGGTTTCAAGCAGGTTGTGCAAGCAGCAGAGGCATCACCCCTGTCCTTGCAGTGCTCCTTTAGCTCTTTGATGCTCAGAGCCCCCCCAGCCCACAGACACAACTCGAAACCTCCAAAGGCAGCAATGCAAACCCTCAGAAAACACTTCCCCCACCTGGGCCCCTGCAGTGAAAGAGATTTTATCACCACAGCCCGCCCTGTCATTTAATTACAGGCCTGTGTTTGGTTACAGTTTGCAGAACACTGGAAGGGAAAGAGCTTTATGAAGCAAAAGCTGGTTGTGCTATTCGAAACAGCAGCTTAAAAACCCCTGCAGAGCCCGCCTGAAGCTTGTATCAGAGATCTGGAGGCCAGCTGACGGGCAGGCATCTTTCTGCATCGGGACCCATGACATAGCATCAGTCACCCAAAGAGAAGTGCAGTGGGGGGAAGCAACAGCATTCCATTCTTAAGGAAAACCAGAGGTAATTCAAAAGGTTAAATCAAACTGCAGCATTCTTTTCCCCACTGACAATCCCAGCTCATGAGGGCAGTGCTAGCAAGAAGGAGGGAGAAAGCCTGTTCCTCAAGACTCCTCGCACATCCTGTACTTTGAGAAACTGAGCTCTGGGCTTCGTTTTAGCTCTTCCCCACCACATTTTGCCTTCTTTATTTGCTCTTTGTAAAGCATCTCCTGGTTTTTGATTCATTCAGAGCTGAAGCCTGTGGGGAGCTTGACACAGTGGGGGCGGATATGTAGAGCTCTCATTAACACCCAGCTCCGGGCAGGGAATCCTTCCAACTCCAACCTGGCTACTCCAGGACTTTTCCAAGCCTCTGTTAAAACTTGAAGCAATATTCTGCGTGCTCTGCTCGTCAGACAAGGGCAGGATTCAATGCAAACGTTGATTTTGGATCTGCTCTCCAAGGCGCTGGGTTGGAGTTGGCCTCATCATGAAGGCTGAAAATGCTGGAAGCCAAAGGCTACAGAGCTTCAGAAAGAGAGCTGCAGCCTGCAAAGCCCATCCACCACGGGTGCCCATAGACATGGTGAAACCCCAACCTTTCCATCTGCTGGGAAAACAGGGCTTGATGGGGAAAACATCCCTGTGTCACGTAGCAGAGGTCATGCCTCATCAGCCCTCTCTCGTGCAGCACATGGGGCTCTCAGACCTTCCCTTCCAGATAGCACAAAGAAACCACAGAGGAGCGTAATGGAAGCCTCCAAACCACACCAAATCCATGGAAATGAGCTTTGAATGGATCCAGACAATGAGCTCTTCTGTGGACGTTTTGTGAGCAAATTGAAAACTCGCTAATAAAATGGCTATCATGTTCCAGTTGTGGGGAGAGGGGGCCAGCCTCCCCTCTGCTCATGGAAAAGCAGCAAAGCTCCCTCCAATTCAGAGCCATGAATGAGATTCAACAGGGTGAAAAATACAGAGCCTTGTTTTCATTAGAGAATTGGGGATTTGGGGGGGTGGTGACGAAAGAGAAGCCTGTAGGGACATTAAGTAGCATCTATTTTGTCACCCTAGTGATGCCAAATGGAAAAGGGTGAGTAAAGAAGAGAGATTTGTGACTGAAGGATTTGGTCTCCCTTGACAGAATCTGGCTCCTGGAGATGCCAAAGATGGTCCACAAGGCTCAAGCCTGGCTGGAATTGGACAGAGCTTGCACTGAGCGTGCAGTGCCTCTCACTCCCTGGCCTGGTGTTTCTCCATGTACTTATTTGTACCTTGTATTTCATCATCCTGGAACAATTTTAGATGCAAGACACTCATTCCTTTTGGGGTATTGGGAAGCATGCTGGGTGAGGTGCTGGCATTCCACACTTCACTGATAACAGAGCTGGCTTAGCATTTTGTATACAGTAGAGGAAGGGCTATTGAGAAAGGAAGATAATTCCCAGCAGAGAGCCACCAGAATGATGGAAGGAAAAAGGTTTATTCAGTGATGCCACCCCTAGCTCCATGCCATGGAAATGTTCCCTTCAGTGTCATTTTGACAGCTACTCCCAGGTTAACTTCAAACTGTCGCTGTGTGTAACAGCCCCTCGTGACTTCTTGATAACGGTCTTTGTATCAGAGGATGTGTCTGATTTCAGCTTGATTCCTCTCCTCGTTTTGCAGTTAGTGCCAGAAGGGCTTTGTGTCCTCCCCAACAATTCCGTTCTTCCAGCAGCGTTATCCATTGGATATAAGCATGCCCTTCTCTCAGTGCTCACACACTTCCCATTCCCCTGCAAGCCTCAAGACCCTGCTCTTTTCCAGTTTCCCCATAAACCAGGCACAGGATCTGTCAATTCAGCCCTAAGCTGGCAACATCCGCCCTCCTTGCTCATCTTTCCACACCCACACAGCACAAATGCAGCTCTTTGGCACTTGCAAAGCTGGCCTTGGGTCCAGTGGTGGTGAAGAGAGATCCTTCCCCTTCCACCCCACTGCTCTCCCTGCCAGAAATGCCTCATTATACATTGCACAGCCCCAAACTCAGGAACTCTTGATCCCTCGAGCTGCCTCGGAATACAATGAACAAAGGCACAAAAGGAGCCACTATTTGGAAGTGTCCCATTCATCAGAGATGTGCTGGAACTGAGCGACCCTGAACGAGGATATTTAGGTTCAAATCCAAACTTGATGCCGTGCACACATCCTCATGTGCTACAGACAGGAAAAGGACACCATTTGCCTGCTGGATTTGACCAAAATTCATTCAGGGCCTCCAGCTGCAGCCCCATTGCGTGCCTGGGAGATGAGGCCTGAGCTGGCCTCTTATCAGTGTAGATCCTGCATTAGAAAAGCATCTTTATACTTCAGGGATTCAGGGCCTGAAAAGGGAGCCTTAATTCCAGGTGCCGTTTGTGTGAGGAGATAAGTATCACCATGGGAAAGAAACAACATTATCTCTACTCCTGCCTTTTCCCACCAACAAACAGCCCCAAAGAAGATTAGTGGCACATGCTGCTGCGTTAATAAGGGAGACATCATTCATCAGCAGAGCCAGTGACATGGGCTCTGACCCTTGGCTCAAATGCAATCCCATCTGCTGACCTCACTCCCCAGCAGGAACCTTCTAAGCAGAAAAGACAAGCTCCTGGGAACTAGGGAAGAATTTGATGTAGACATTTAATCTAGTTTTAATACTTCCTGGATGCTAGGCTTGGATGAGGAGTCTCAAAACAAGAGGAAACCATCTCCTCTTCCTGAAGCAGGATGGTCTCAGTGCAAGCTGAGAAACCCCTCCTTTCACCAGCTATAAATGTAGTGCAAACAGGCTCAACAAGGGAACTCCTGCAGCTTTGAGATTTTAGGCTTGGAGCATACCTGGATAAAGGAAATATCCTCTTATGCTATTTTGATGCACACCCTTGGCTCAGTGAGGAGGTTACTTGGACAGATGCAGCTACTTTGGCAGTACAATCTCAGTAGAGCAGGAATTCAGTGCTCTATCCACTGTACCAAACAGTGCTCCCGATGTACCAAAGCACGCAGCAAACACCAAGACAGGGTCCACATCTTCCTGTCTTTATAGTGTTAGCATCAGAGGATGCCCTTACAAGATGCTGGCTCTCTGTTCTGCTCTTCAGTGACTTACAGGGGGTGTACGTCCTACAGGGAAACAGGGATAACCCAAATATCCTCTTCATCTTCTGGCTGCCTGGTGGGGATGTGTCTGGCCCTCAAAAACCACCTCAACCCTGTCAGTTCAGAGCAGCCTTCATGCTTATTTCATTCACAGAGAGAGACCTCTGGGTCAGTAAAAAGCATCCTCTTTTGGTGGTCTCCTTAGCAATTGAGGTAAGATAAGTGATGGAACAGACACCATAGATGCTGGAGATGTCTCTTTTTATGGCTATCCAGGAAGGAGAGTGAAAGGAAGCTGTTTATGGCCACATCATGCTGCTTTTGCAGGCGTTCTGGGAAGTGGGGACCCACGCAGAGGCCCCTCGCATCTGGATGACAGATTCAGACAATGGATTGTTTTTAATCTTGCTGTATAGGAGATTCCAGCTAAACTGATCTCATATGTGCTTTGCCTGGTCCCCAGCCAGCAGGGGTGAGGCAGAGCAAGGCAAGAGTGATTTTCTGTGTCCTGAGGTTCTAGTGCAGTCCAGCCTTAGCCCATCACGCAGCCAAAGTGCATGGGACATCACTGAATTTGGGGAGCAGGCTCTTCACCTGAGATGCGTGTAAAATGCTTTGGATTCCACGAGTTCCAAGCCCTTGGATGCTGGAGCACTGAAACTCTTCTGTTAACCTGAGAAAGTCTCGTGGCATCCTGCCAAGGAAGATCCACAGACACAGATGTCTGCTCGACATGAAAGAGCATCCGTCCCCCACCGAAGGATTAACCTCTGTAGGTTGTGTCTCACTATGGAGAAGCTTTTCGGAAGGGCTGAACCCAGGTCACCCGGAATGCACTGACACAGAGACTACTACAGTTATCCTAGCCAGGAAACGTCTGGAGCACAGGAAAGTGAGGCTATGGGAACAGTCACCTGGAAGCAGTGATGCTCCTTTCAGAGAACTGACTGTTGGGAAAAAAACACACAGAATCCCACATTGGTTTGGGTTGGAAGGGACCCTAAACTCCCCCCATCCAACCTGGTCTGAAGCACTTCCAGGGATGGAGCATTCACAACTTCCTTGGGCAACCATGAGAATGGATGCTGTCAAACCCACAGTGCCACAGGGGTGGGGTGCTGTGATGCTGACTGCTTCAAGTGCTCTCTTTGTGTGATTTTGCCACCTAGAAACAGATTCCAGGTTAAATGTCTGGGTTCTAGTGCATTTGTCATCCCTTGTCTTGGTTACAACAGAGCCTGGGAGGGGAATGATAGAGAAGTGGAGCTCCTGAAGCCCAGCTAGGTGGGATGCAGTCACACCAGTGCAATGAACACGTTTTATCCCTAAAAGGGCAAACGCAGGCAGCAGGGTTTCATTAGGGTATGTGGGAAAGAGCTTTAACAACCAAGGCAGGAAAAGTTTAATGCTGCTTTCCTTTTCATTTGCCAGATGTTTGGAAAATACAACAAATGTTTGTTCCCCTGTTTCTGAGAGGTGCAGCCTGCATGGCACGGTCCTGCTGTGGAATGCTTGGGGAGAGCATGTCCTTCCCATCACACACCTCTGAGACACGCCAAGCAGTGATAAAGGAGATGCTGAGACTGGACCTTAAGGAACTGGAGGCAGATCCTCACGAAGAGGGCTCAGATTGGTGGCACTATGAATGTTCAACATTCCAACCACACCTCATCCTGCCTGTGCTCCACACTTTACCGCAGGGGCATGTGCCTTATGGCATGGACCGAGACAGTGGTCTCACTGTGTGAGTCCTGAATTTAACTGAGTAACACAGTGGACCAACTTATCCCGAGTCCAAAAGGGGTTCCAGGGCTTCCAGAACCAGAGATCTCCCTTAACTGCCATGACTAGTCTTAACGTTGTTAAACCCTCACCCCCCAAAGCACTTTGAAGCACTGTATCATTTCCAAGAGATGCTGAGGCTGAAAAGGTCACTCCTATTTACACCACCATTGGAGAGGAGCGAGGTGCATCCCACAGAGTAACCAGAAAGCCAGGAAAGCCAAGCAGGCTGTCTGCAGATAACCCTGGCCTGGCAGGGGGGAGAGCTTCCCCAATGGGACTGGGACAGTACCAGGCCACTGGCTCACAGGATCAAGGCTCAGAGGATGCTGACTGGCATTTCATTTGCCCTTGCTTTGTACTGAAGGACAAGGTTCAGGTTCTGTTTGGAAGTCAGTGAAGCATCACTGCATTGACTTGCTCCATACCCTCATGTCATGGAGTCAGACCTTCTGCAGTGCACTGAGGGCCATGATTTCATTTCTGGTTGTCTTATAGCATCACCATCCCAGTTAGTCAGACTCCACCTGCTTCTCCTTCCTTCCAGTCACTCTGCTGAATTAGAGGCAACAAGTTGTAAGCTGCAAAAAGATGAATACCCAGTGGATAAGGAAATATTCCTTACCAGGACAGTGGTGCAACCCTGGGACAAGAGCCTCAAAAGGAAAGGCTCAGACTGAGCAACTTGATAGAGCTTTGAAGCCAGTCCTGACCTAAGCCGAGATCTAAAGCCCTCCAGAGGTCCCATTTCTTCAATGAGTCTGTGCTGCCATTAAAAGACCTTTCAGAGAACACCTACATGAATAAAACTAGTTTAAGAGATCCAGCAAACTCCATTCCCCATTGCCTTGGGCTCTGGGAAGCAGACAAAGAGATCAGAAATGCATTTTGCAGTATGTTTTCTATCATGCCTTCATGCTTGCCGTACTCCCTCCTAGTTGGAAGCTAACACCAAGGCTGGCATGGGAGCTGTTTCACATCTCTGCTTTGCCAGCCCAGGAGATGCCCTGGGAGCAGAGAGGTTCAGTTTTTAACGGCCCTTGTGCTCCCAGCGTGTATCCTGACCCTGTGCTGAGCAGGCTGGTGAAGCTGGGCAGCAGGGTACAGTCCTACCTTCACATCTGTGGTTGGTCTCGCTCTGCTTGTGACCCGCAGGGCATTTGCACTCATAGGAGCCCACTGTGTTGATGCAGTTTCCACCTTGACAGAGGCCAGGAATGGCTTGGCATTCATCCACATCTGCAGGAAGAAGAGTAAAGATCTTAGAAAGTGAAGCCATTGCAACACATGAATTTTCAGTCCCATCATGGTGAGAACCCTACGAGGAAGAAGAAGCTTTGCTCAAATACATGGATTTACATTTCATAACAGAATTGCCCATCAGATCACCTTAGAAATAAGGTGAAGGACAGAAAATGGGCATAAATATATTGCTGCCTTATCTACACAAGCAAGAGGGGGACAATAGTAATGTTTTCCAAAGCAGACATCCATGTGTCTAGCCCCTTCTGGTTCAGTTCAGGCTGGTAGCTGATGCTGGGCTGGGTTGGGAAGAAGTGGTTTGGGGGGATGTCCTCCTGCAGCCTTCAGAGAGCAACATCTGCCCCAGGGCACAGAGGGGAACCTATGGACTCAGGTTTTGCTCTTCAGCTCTGTCCCAGGCTCATCCTGCAGCCGCTGTGTCCACATCAGTGAGGGGACACTGTGCTTCCCAAAGCACCTCAGGAAGGCCTCAGTACTTGCTGCTTAGAACCACCTTGCCTGTGTGCTGCAGATCTGATTTAAACTCCAGTTCTGCTCGCACTAACAGTGAGTGATAAACCTGTTACACAGGCCAAGCCTTCCTGAAGATACTGGGACCATAAAACACAGATTACAATAGACAGCAAAAAAGTTCCCCTCTTCAGCCTTCCCAGTTTTGCCCTGTGGGATTCAGATGGTGATTCTGGTTTTTGATCATAGCAGGTAAAGGCTGAAGTTACTTGCAGATGCAGAAAGGAATCCCTGCAACCCCTTAGAGAGGCTGCCAATGGTATCTGTTGATGGGAACTCCATGGACCATTCTGCTACCCTGGACCCTGGATGCAGCCTCTAAGCATGTGATTTATGTACATTGTAGTTGCCTGTGGGATCTTGAAGGAGTCACAGCTTCCATTTTGAACCAACAATACAATTTACAGAGCACTAGCCACCCAATACAAGTGCTGATCATGCTCCAGTGCTGGGACAGAAGCAGCACCACAAAAAGAGGCCATATGGAAGGCTGCAACTTAGTTTGAAACTTGGAGAAACACTAGCCTGATTATCTACAACTTGTGGGATGGAGGATGTCACCTGAGAACCACAGCATGGCCAGACTCTTTAAGTGGGCTGTGATAATCTTAGATGATCCCATGAGACACCCAAGGTCCATGGTGATGCTCTGTGATATCTAATGATGGATTTAGAAAAGCTTACAGAGAACTGTTCTCTGTGCTGGAGCTCCTGGCAGGCATTCATCACTCATCTTGTCAGTGCCCACCAGGATGGGTAAGGGAACATCCTCTACATGTTCATGGCATTTACCTTGGCAGGCTCCAGTACGAATGTTGGGAATGAAACCTCGGCGGCAGGGGTGCGGTTGAGCAGGGCACATCTCACACGGGTGACCCCAGGCCCTTCCAATGGTGGCACAACACATGGTCTTGGTGCAGACGATCCCGCTGAGTTGGCCCTGGCACATCTGGTTATTCACTTGGCTGAAGCAGGGACCAGTACGATAGTCTGAGGGAGAGCAATAACATCCACAGGTTAGACCAAGACACAAACACAAGGTTTCTGTCCAACACAGGGTGTCTGTTCCCCTGCCTACCAGCACAGCCACTCAGGTGCTAGGGCCCAGTACTGGAGGTGGTGACCTTTCTGGTCTATGTTTCATGTCATCATCAAGAGGTTCTCCAAGCCAGCTCTTCCTGATCTCCCTCAGCCTTTTCCCATGAACTATACTTATTCTATGCCTTAAGACACTCCTTTTAAGTACTGGCCTTAGAATGAACTCAAGATATGAAGTCAGGCAAAGAAGCAGCTGCTGTGGATAGCAAAGCAATGACTCTTCATTTCAGTTAGGGGCAAAGATGCCTATGGAGATGACATGGTACATGGACATGGTACATGGACAGCCTTAGGACCTGACAGCCTGTATACTATAAACATAGAGGATGATGGAGGTGTCTTGCTGTCAGACCACTTCTACTTGGCTTGCAGAGTAAGAGACCCAGTTCTCAGCCATTAAACATTCTGGGAAAGGATTCCCAAACCTTTCCCCATGATGTCTACTGTAAATGCCACAAAAGGATTTCTACACTCTCTGACAGCCTCTGTAAAGTCAACCTCCTGCTGTTACACATGTCACTGTGATTAATCTCTTTGGTTTAACTCTTAAAGGTCCCCTGGCAATTTTCACTGCATCTTTAAAACCCAGATGCTGCAGAATCCACCAGCCTGTTTCCCATTCCCAAGAAGGATCCTCCTACCCCTTAAAGCCAAGAATATTTTGTAGGGCTTGTTTGCACTAAGGAATGCGGCTTTGCCACTGTCTGGGCTCTCATGACCCTTGATTAGGGATATTAGCACAGCAGGCATTCATCAGGAAAGAAGATTCTGAAACAAGAGGGATTTTCCTTCGCCTGGGAACAGATGATTGCATGCAAGTGTTTGATCTGCAGCTGGAAAAAGGACCTTTAACCACGTTCTTGTCAGACCAGAAAATTCCCCATTAACTGCCTAAGGATGTTAAGTGTTGGTCAAAGAGCTGCTATTTCACATGGTCTGGCTGAGCTTTGCAAAGTTGCTTAGGGAATTTTGATGTTGAAGTGCCCAGTAACTGGCTGTGAACCCAAATCCCTGCATCAGTCCCCAAATTAACCCACAGCTCTCTTTTGGGTTTGACATGTGAAGCAACAAAAGACTTGTATGGAGGTGGTTATACCTCAGTTATGAGCCCTGGGCAGCTTGGGCACCACATGTAAAGGTGAATAGTTCTGTTTCCAGAAATGTCCTGCTATAATATAGACACTGACCAATAGAAAGCTCCATTTCTTGGCCTGCAAATTCTCAGCTATAAGTCTTTCCACACATGATCTTTGCAATCAGCTCCCTTCTATTTAAATTCTTACACACGTGTGCAAAGAATAAAAAACAAGAAAAACCATAAAATTGATGATTTGAAACAGAAAGCTTTCTCCCATAGGGTATGCTGGCATGACAGCCACATTGGAGAACCTTATATTTGCATGAAAGCAGGAGAGAGTGGCTTGATCTTGGGCCATAAGAGATCACCTGGAAATCACTGCAGGCTTTAGACTGGCAGTGCCAGTGCTGATGGGCCTTCCTTGGTCCTGTGGCAACGCCGAGTAAAAACTGTGTGAGGTTCAACTGGGTTATGGTTGTCCCACCTGGCATCAGGGTAAGCATAAGCTATAAGCTTATATAAGCAATCAATGAGTGCAATACTTGCTTATTCCCAGCTTAATGCTCCTCCGATCTGTATTCCTTGAGCAGCTGGAAGCGCAGCCATACTTTGAAACTAAAATGAAAGCGTCAAAAGGAGCTTGGTTGTGGATGGCACCGAGGAGTAAACAGCAAGAAGGACTTGAGAAGAAAAAGGGTCATGATTGTGACACTATATTGGTATAAAAGTGATTTGAAAATCAGACCAGAAGTGAAGTAACTCCACTAAGGAGTTACCAAATAATCCTCTTCTTTGTCCGACCCACATTTTCACAAGGTACCAAAGCACATGGTCCTCATTACTGTCCCCTTGCCACACCAAGTTTAATGCTTTAGTTTGTTCTACTTTATTCCTAGGAAAGAAAGCAACAACATTTGACTTGTTTTGTCTCTTTTTTTTATATGTAAAACTGAAAGGCTCTTGCTCAAAATGTCAACCTTGAGGCTGGTTCAGAAAGCAGCAGAACTGGGAAGGCTCAGGAGGACAACAAGGAGCGCTGCTTTGCATCCCCAGCCTGCAAAGGAACTCCTGGAGGAAGTGGAAATCATGAGGAGGAACAGGCAGACTGCAGATGGACTCACTTGGAGAGCCAGAACCAGGAGGTGTCACAGGCAGAGGAGTGATGCTGGCTCAAAAGAAACAGACGAAAGTACTTCTGCATGAGAGGAATTCTCCTAACAGAGGATGTGAATTGCCATAGATCGTGAGCTGCAGGTGCCCGGTGCCCAAGGAAGCCATACAGAGGAGGCTCATAAAGGACTGCTGTGTTCCTATGCTGTCCCCCAGCTTTCAGCATATGGGAACTGAGAGCTTTGAGGCACAAACTGAGCTCAGCTCTGCTTGGACATGGCAGTACCCATGTGCTTACTATGAAATAGTGAACATCACCTGAGCTGCTTTGAAGCCTTGTTAACCCCAGGACAATACCTGGGACAACTCCTAACAAAGAGCTTGCTTTCCCCCTTTCCTACTCAAAAGGAGCATGGAGAACACGTGGCTGATGTCGTTGTGGTGTCTACCTACAGAGGGCTCCTAGAAACTCACATCACATAGATGTATAACCCAAAACTCAATGGTACAGAGAGGAAAAGGGTGAACTCGCACCTCCCACGTCATCCCGCCGAGGCTGGACGCACTGCAGCAAGAATTCCTCCAGATTGATAACGAAAGCACAGGGAGAACACCCCCTTTTTAAACAAATAATTGACAAAAATAGATTTTCATATGTAGATTACTTCTTCGGAGGGAACGAAGCCAAGGAAATTGCAGTCTGGAATGCAGAAAGCCTGGCTGCATTCCACCGCCCATCTGTTGCTAATTTTAATGGTGAAATGATTAAATTTTTAATGGGGCACCAATCAGATTTTATTAAGGAAATATGCACGCTTGGATGTCTAAAGCCCTTTTACAGTCAATGCTTGGGATCCCACTTTCCAGGAACCCTGTCACAGGTAGGTCTCCTTTAGAAGCTTGGTCTTTGCTGGTATACTTCTTAGAGAACCAGAGACAAGGTGGCTTCCTCACTGAAAGCTGAGAGTTCTCCCTGTTTCCTCAAGCTTCCAATAACAGTGCCCAGTGGTAGGATATGGATGAGTTCCACCTTTCCATCTGCAGGTAAAGTTCTCATTAAAGAGCTTGTAAGAAATACTGGACCAGGCTTTATTTTGGTCATCAGAATCTTCTCACCTCTATGGAGGAGACTTTTAACATGTATGTGGGCCTTTAGAGCCACTTGTAACTGCAAAAATCAATCACTGCCTGACTTAACCTCTCCAAATACAGTTAGAATCAGAGAGTTCTTGTCACCATCAGGTTAGATTAGGTTACTCTTCATGCCTACTCATCCGGAGCAGCCAGCAAGGAGAGAAAGCCCTCACATGGCAAAAGGCACCACGGAATCAGAGCTGAAGCATTAACGTGTTTGCATTAACCACAAGAAATCTGACTCTTTGCTATGCTCTTTGTGTTCAAACCCCAGCCTCTAGCCTCCCTCCACATATGGCTTTGAAGCATCACCTCCCCTATACTAGCGACTTCTGCAGATGCTGCAGAGCCATGGTGGGGCTCTCGTTGAGTCCTATCTACCCAACCCTGCATCCAAAGCAGGCCCCAGATGTGCTCAGAAGAGGAAGCTTAACAGGAATAGACCTCATTCCCAGTTCCCATGTTTGGCTGGTTGTCATGGAGATCGTTAGGAACCCCTATAGCTAATGAATCCCTGACAGTTCCAAGCCGCAAAGCCTTGGGGAGTTAATGGGTGGGATCCTTGCCATTACACATGCTCTTACACTGAGCCACGCTATTCCACTTGCGAGCAGCTTCCTCAAAATATCCCTGTAGACATTCTGAACTCTCCTAATGAGTGTCTAGGATGTAAGTGGAAGAACACTATATGGTTGCTGAGGACATCTGCCTTCACCCACGTGCTGCATGGAGTCCTGCTGGAAGGGCTGGGACATTAAAGTGCAGTGAAGCGCATTATGGTTCAGCCAAACCAGTACCTAAAACCTCACAGCTTCCCCATGTCCACCACTTGAGGACCACGGATGCTGCCCTGGCTTTGCCTACCCTACTTAACCCAAGTTCACCTTGCCAGAGCCTGTCCAAGCTCCTCCAAGAGGTGATAAAGAATGATGCACTGCTCTTTAGAGCCAGCCATGGCTATAATTTAGAGCAGAAATGCAGCTTGGAGTCATTAGAAAAGAATAATCAGTTGCAGACACTTTAAAATCACCACTCTGAGGCTATCAAACATTTATGGACAACACTTGGAAGGCACCTTCTCTACTGCTCAGTTTGCCCAGTGCTAAATGAAAACAAGGGCTATCTTTTGTAGGGAATGGTTCCCTGGGATATTCAGAGCCATTAGTTTGCATGGAAATGTTAAATCCAGGCTGATTCCTTTGAGGGAGACCTCAAGCTGAACACTTCCCTAAACAAGGGTGTTGTGTACCACCTGAATTGAAACAGCGCCTGAACCTGAACCATTTACAACTTTATTTCATATCCAATTCAAATTACTGCCTTGCTGGAAGGGGGAGGCATTGAAAATTAACATTCCTCCCCCTTTTAACTGGCTCCTCTTTTTCCCTTTGTGGAAACCAGTAGATTTTGACCAAGAACTTGTGAAAAGAAGCATTTTGTTGGACACCTTTCACAAGAGGAATGATTCCTCCACTTCTCTAACATTCCCAGCAGGGTGTCACCAACTAAACGAACGCTTGCAGTGGGAATTCAGATCCCAGGGTAAAGATGGCAAAGCAGGAACAATCCC